TCACACCAGATCTCCAGAGAAGTCAGGGTACCCCGTACAGATATGCTTATTGCTTCAAGCCGAGGAAATGCTTTTTCATGAAAAGCCCAAATGGTATACCAACCGTTCTAGCAAGACCTATGTCTTTCTGATGCCATTAATTGCTCTACATGGAAAATTATAATAGAAGTTGTTTTACAGGCATGAGAAGTATAGAGACAGTCTACTTGATGCCATTTCTCAAAGCAAAATTTGGAGAGGTTCTGTTTGCATTGTTTTGAAAAACATTGAATATGGCTCATATAGTGTATATACATGAACTTTTATGTGTCATTAATGTTGTTTTCAAGTACACAGCGAGTGGAACAATTCCCATTTTACATTCAGTTTTTATAATAGTAGTATATAGAGAGGTTTTTAATAAGTTTACGGCACTTTGCCTAAACTGGAATTTAGTGGACCTTGAAATACTGATAGATACAGTGAGAAAGTTCTTATTAACTTTTGCAAACTATTAAAAAATATCTTAAATGTAGTCATTTTATGGTAGGTGGTCGGAATCGACTACTCAACTTGTCTTGAATTTTCCTTTGAGCGACCATAAAATACCCAACTACTTCCAAATGACATAACTCAAATTCAAGTGAATAACCAAATGAAAATGGTATTTACCATTTTGGATTGGTATTTACCGATCCGTTCAAGCGAGTGTGGTTATCAATTTGGTTATCAGATCCGTGACGTCATGAATCAGCTATTATATGTCAAAGTTATCACCGCAAAATTGTGGTATTTACCCAACTCAGGAGTAGTTTTATATTTCTGGTTATTATTTGAAATGTGACAAGTTAGAATTTTGGCAGGTATTGGATATTTTTGTTGTACTTCAGCTTCATTTTTGGGAAACTTGGTACAGGCTGACTTCAGTTGTAGCATAAAGTAGAGATCCTTATTAGTTATACTCATTACTGTTGTTGGGGACACTTTAAATCTAGTTCCTAACACAGTATCCTGTGGAGCCATATACCACACGAATATTAAAATATGGCCTTATAAACTCACCTGTTTACGGTTTTGCTAATATCTTTTTTCATCCCCTTTTCCTATCATTTCTGCTAAATCAATAAATGTTTTCTTTGACATGCGCAAAAGCTTAGAGAATTGAAAGTTATCATAGCTACAAAGCCATATGGTTCCTTCATTAAAAATTATTTTCTGAAAAAAAAACATGTCTCCCATTAATTATGAAAGGTTTCTTTTTTAAACTTTCCATACACTGTTGTAAACGAAAAAGCACCGATTATTAAGTGATAATAAAAATAATCAGAAATTATATACGCTCTTTTCTAAAATAAACAACCTGCAACAAAACCGCGGTTAAAACCAACGCGTTCAAGCGGTTCGTGTAACTGACGTCATCAACCCGTGTGTCATCTTGAACCATATTATAACCGCGGCACATAACACAAAAATTTTGGTTATTCTCTTGGATTTGATTCTAGTGTTTAAGGACTTTTTTGTCTACAACTGTGTATGGAAAGTTTAAATAAGAAAGCTTTCATAATATTCATGGGAGAAATGTTTTTTTTCAGATTTTTTTTTAATGATGGAGCCATGGTTTTGTAGCTATGATAACTTTCAATTCTCTAAAGTTTTCCGCATGTCAAAGAAAACATTTATTGATTTAGCAGAAATGATGAAAAAACGATGAAAAAAAAAATTAGCAAAACCGTATACAAGTGGACATCATCCAGTGAGTTAAATGGCCATATTTTAATATTCTTCCGGTATATGGATACACAGGATACATTGATAAACATAGGAACTAGATTGAAAGTGTTCCCAACAACAGTAATGAGTATAACTAATAAGGTGCTCCACTTTATGCTAACACTGAAGTCAGCCTGTATCAAGTTTTCCAAAAATGAAGCTGAAGTACAATAACAATATCCAATACCCGGCAAAATTCTAACTTGTCACATTTCAAATAATAACAAGAAATATAAAACTACTCCTGAGTTGGGTAAATACCACAATTTTGCGGCGATAACTATGACATATAACAGCTGATTCATGACGTCACGGATCTTATAACCAAACTGATAACCACACTCGCTTGAACGGATCGGTAAATACCAACCCAAAATGGTAAATACCATTTTCATTTGGTTATCCGCTTGAATTTGATTATAGATAATTCACAACCAAGCACAAGGTCATCATAATTTTGTTTATTTATTCACTTAAACTGCATATAGTCCGTCTTCCACGAAGTCATTATCAGATCCGATGTGTAAGATAATTAGCCGTTTGCCCTTCCCTGAAGGATTTTTAACCCCGTGGAGAGACCTTCCAGAAGGCTTCCGAGGATGCTCAACTGATGAATCCACCCATACTTTGCTAACAGTGAGCTCTGCATTGAGCCAAGTCTCGTCTAGGTAGTATATCTTCCTGTCTTCTTTATACTTCCAGATTTCGCGTAAGAATCTACGTCTCCAACATATTATCTCGTCCCTTTCTTTCAAGATGCTATTTAGCTTCCTTTCTACAAAACTAAAAATTACATTAAACCTTTAAATTCGTTCATTCAATGAACCATATTATACGAATATCGAATTTCAGGTGATTCACCTTAACCAAATTGCCAATTTAGTCTAGTCATAAAGTATAGATAAAGAATGATAAAAAACATAAAAAACTCTAAACTACAGGGTGGCCCATAAGTCCTTTGAGCTGGAAAAAAAGGAATAAAACCAAACTAGTTACATTATGAAGAATTATTATATTTTGTTATCATCTTTATTGAATGGGAATTATGTTTTAAAAATCACATCGTCTAAATGCAATCCATTACGATCACGGCACTCATATAAACGACGTCTAAAATTGTCGATGACTGCGCGGCAAGTCAACACTGTAATGCTTGCCATTTCTCTTCGGATATTTTCTTTCAGGACGTCAACTGATCGCGGAGTGGTGTCGTACACTTTACTCTTGAGGTAGCCCCATAAAAAAAAGAAGTCCATTGGGGTCAAATCTGGACTACGTGGTGGCCAGGAAATGTCTCCTCTTCGAGAAATTACTTTGCTGGGAAAAAGTTGACAGACGACGGGCATAGAAGTGTTGGAGGTGTGGGCAGTTGCTCCGTCCTGTTGAAACCAGGTCTGCGTATTATAGCCTGGAAAATTCTTCAACGCTGGTGTCAAAAACTCTTCTATCATTGCTACATACCGCTCCGAAGTAACAGTTAATGCGCGACCTCTATCGTCCTCAAAAAATAAGGGCCTACGATGCCATGCGCTGACATAGCAGCAAAAACTGTAACTTTAGGGCTGTGTAAGGGCTTCTGATGCTTACGCCTTGGATTTTCGGGGCTCCAATAACGGCAATTTTGTTTATTTACATGCCCGTTTAAATGGAAGTGAGCCTCGTCCGAGAACAACACATTATTGAGCAAAGAAAATCGATTCAACATTTCATTCGCAAAGTTGAGTCTCTGAATAGCGTCATTATCTTTTAATTCCTGCACTAACTGAATTTTGTAAGCGTGCAGACGTAAATCTTTCCTTAAAATCCGCTGTAAAGATGTTCTGGGTACGTTTAGTGCACTGGAACGCTTACGAGTAGACTGGGTAGGATTTTGACGAACAGACTGTGCCACAATGTTGATGTTTTCTTCAATACGAGTTGTCCTTGGTCGACCCCACCGCTGTTTATCTAACGTCGAACCAGTCTCTTCGAACTTAGCAACCCAGTTCTTAATCGTTTGAGCTGTTGGACACTTTGTAAAATTGTGTAAATTGTGGTATTCTCGATATTTACGCCGCGCAATGGTTGCCGAATCATTATTTTGATAAAACGCGCGCACACAAAAAGCACGATCCGCTCCAGTGAAACACTCCATGGCGACTGAATTCCCAGACACTGAAGATACTGCCCCCACCTCGCCCGCGCCGCTCACGCTCACCCGTTAAATTTTATTCAAATTTGAAATTTCAAAGGACTTATGGACCACCCTGTATATTTGTGTGAAAATTTCACGGAATTTTTTAGTTTTGTAATTTACTATCAAGGAGAAATAAAAAACAAAATAAGTTCCCGAAAATTAAGTTCCTTCATTAATGTAGCCAACGTCGATCTTTTGAAGTCTGGCAAAAGTCGACGTCGTTTATTGATAACAAAATTTTGTCCAATGTGGGTGGTTCGTTTCGGAAGCAAAATTCGTGGATTTTTCTTCGGATTAATGCTTTAGTTTCTTGTGAAACGTTGTCCAAAACTACTCTGGCTCTATGGTGACCTTTAGGAGGAAAGAGTGCTTCTTTTGTGCTCTGACAAAATTTTATACACACTGCTAATTGATGCTCCTGAAAACAAACTAATACATTTTGCATATATTATACATACATTCATTAATAAAAATAATTGGAAATAAGTTCTAAAAATCAAAATATGTGCAATAGAAGTAGCTATCATATTAGTGAGTAAGATATTTAACAGAAAATAACTATTATTTAGATTAATACATCAAACTAAAAAACATTTCAAACTATAGTTCAAAGCTAAATCTTCACCTGATGCTCTTCAAACATAGGCTACACGTTCTGAGTTTCAGTTGGATAGCGCTCCCGAGAAGCTATATAAATATTTATAATAGTTTCTTTTTTAGAAACCGACAAAGCTCTTTTTGCCCGTTTTCTTGGTAATTGGCCCTCGTCTAATAAGGCACTCATGTCGAAATATCCTTTTAAGAGTTGTCTCACAAAAATGAATGAAACTCACCAAAAAAAAAATTCAACCGCACGCCACAGTCCTTCGGAAATACGCCTTGGGAAGTGCTATTGTGAACTTGGCGTCTTATCTACCGAAAACGGACCAATAGGAACGAGGCGCATGCCGATCAGATGATTTATTACTCCGTCATCAAATATCCATACTACTTTTGAAAACTCGAGCTACACCACAAAGAGAGAGAGAGAGAGGGATACGTTAAACTTGTAACACTCCTGTTTTGTAGTTTTGGGCTAAAAATCCTCCGCATCGTCAGCGCTTAAATTATAACACTGTTGTCTACCTTCCACATTTTAATCCACTCATGGTTTAATTTTACAAACTTAACACGACAATTTTATGAAATATAACAAAACTGGGATACATTCTGAAACAGTGGATTTATATGTTTTTTGAGATTTATTATACAAAAGTTTAATCGTATTAAAAATAAACACAATACAACTTGGAACAGTATTAATTGGTAGTTCTAATATCACTCTTCAGCTAGTTATCAAAAATACAAACCATAAAAATGTACACACTACTTCTACTAAGAAAAATAACACAACTCATAAAATGCCATAGATTTCCAAGATGCTAAAGATTGCTTTGCAATGGAGAATGTAGAAGTGCTTCTCACTTTATGCATTAATCACTTCCAACAATATGCAAACCAAATTGTTTCAACTCAGAATTCAGTTATACCTCAGTTGCAACTGAGGCGCATTGAATTTAGTTAGCCATTTTAGATTGTCAATTTTTTTGTAACAATTACTGTCAACGCAAAAGATACGAGGTCGCCTAAATTGAGCAGTTTCAAATTTCGATATTGCTGGCAATTTGAGCTGCAATAATATTAGTGCCTTTCGTAATCTACAAATCGATTGTGAATATGTGATCCAGGCTGATCAGCCGGCGTATTGTGAGATGTCTCGAGCCATAAGCCCGGCCGATCTATCTAACTGTAGTTCCCGAGGAGTCCTTATGATAACTAAATGGTGAGTTTTGTTTCACAACAATCCTCCGGTTTGAATTTTAATAACACAAAATTGAAAATCTAACGCTTCATATATCTAATAAGGTGGTAATATGGTTGGAATGAAGTAACGACCATACAAGTCTGTGCAAAAGAGCTAATAAGGAATGAAGCTGCAAATCAGTCGATTGCCATCTGCTCGGATAGCCAGGCAGCCATAAAGGCATTAAGTTCATTGCAAATATCGTCTAAACTAGTATGGGATTGCGTGAACACTGTCAAAGAGCTGGGAAACCGAAACAAGATAACTTTGCTCTGGGTACCAGGACATGAAGGACAAAGGAAATAAAAAGTCGGACCATAGCCTTTCTGTGGTGTGACGAGAACACGCATCAAACAGAAATTGGACCAAGAACAAGTCTCTAGAATGGTGGAACAGCCAACTAGGGCAAAGGCAGGCACAAGAGTTCATCAAAGAACGAAGGCACGCTTTTACAGGAGGACCTTCTCGGACTCAATAGGAAGGCCATAAGGTCCAAGTGGGTCTCCCGACAGGTCACTGTCGTCTAAATCGACATATGAGACTCTTGGGTCTGGCAGAAGAGGCCACATACCGTTTCTGCAGAGAGCATGACACAACCTCAGTGCATTTACTGTGTCACTGTGAAGGCCTGGCAAAGCTACGGTTTCAGATAGTAGGAACCACAGGTCTAACAGTGGAAAGCTACATGCAAGGCCCTGTGTCAAGGCTATGGAATCTGATCAAAGACATTGTAATCTGTAATATGGTTGGAACCCTTTATGGTGAATTCGACATAGAGTCACATTACATACCATACAATACGGTATCAATGGCAAAACATATGATTTACAAAAACAAAATATTGTTGGAAAAAAGAACGCGCCTAGCACTAGGTTTGTTCAAATTTCTTTCTATTACATTTTGTATGAAATTTTCGAGATGTGTTAACAATTTTTTAGTCGCCATAGATTAAGTATCTTGAGTCGATGAAGTAGCGAAGCCCAATATGGAATTTTTGGATTTACTCGAGCTCGGCAGATTAACATAACGAGGGATACGTTGTATCTTATTGAGTAGATTCAGCATATGCAGGGTGTTTCAACCATCACCATACAGATCTATGAAACTGTAGGAGATGCGAAGTCGCTCAAAAGTTGCGTATTTAGGTAAATTAGCAAAATTCAAAGTACTTCCGGAGAGAGACGGAAAAACAATTTTCGTAGAATCGTTTCAATTTTTTCCTGACTTCATTTGTAGTGGGATAACGAATATGTATAATCTGCCTATATCATCAAGCCGAAAAAACAGTATATCTAATTTTGTAACTTTTTTCTACATTTTTGACAACCACTGGATCCCTATGACACTTGAGTTACTCACCATTTAGCCTCTTGAGCCCCCTACTAATACAATCCTAAATTCATTTTTAATTTAAATACATATCCTAAAAGTTGTTTTCTGATCCATAATTGTGTACTGACCATCATAAAAACAAAAATTACCAGAAGATTAACAGTAAAACATGAATACATGCAGCTTTCATAACTAAGACAAACTAACATACTAATTTTTAGGAATTGCCCGGATTTTACTGAATAAAATGAGATAAGAACCGTAGCCACATGTCACTGTAGCAAATATTGGTAATTCGCTCTTAGTTTACATAATAAAGTAATTTGGTGTTAACAGCAATTGTGAAGTTTCATATTGTGATTGAGAAATTTATTGCTTATATCAACTATCAATTTCTCTTTAATGAGATTCTGTAGTAATTTGTTGATACCTAAGACACAAAGACACATGTATGGGCTACAGGAATAAAGAACTATTCATCAGCCGCCAACTAAACATAATTTTCCATTGAATAAAAACAATCTCTGCACCTTTTATACGTCTTCTGGTGTACATATATAAAAATCCTCCATTATTCTACAAGACACCAACAGTGCAGCTGAGGTCACCTAACAGAGCACAATTCAGTCTCAGTAGGCAGCCAGCTACATCTGTGTGTCTTCTTGCTCCTTCTCACGCTGTCGTACAGCAACAGCAGTTTCCACCAATAGGTACAGGCATTTGAATTTGTCCTTTTCATCAATGGCTGGATCTGTCAATGGATCAGCGAGTTGGTCAACATTGTGGGCTGGCATAACTTGCACCTAAAAAAGTTATATTTAACAAAGTATATTAATCTAAACTGCAGGTAAAAAGCAGTAAAGTTCATTTAGTACATTTTTCAAATTTTGAATCCAATATATTTTATTACTACAATTACAAAGTAATCATTGATCACATCAACAAAAATAGCTATTTTTTCAATTTGTAAAAAATTTCATATTAAAATATCAAAGTAAAAAATCAGTAGTTTTCAAACTAGACTGCTCTTATTCTCTGTGAATATCAAGTTAATTTCAATATGTATAAATTATATTAAAATAAGTCTGCATTATATGGTTTTCCTTTTGAAACATTACATAAATTATGACAACTACAAAAAAAGTCAGTAAGTTTGTTTTTGAAGAGTATAAAAGCAGTAATATTATTTACTTCTGGCCTCAACAACAATTATGTTTGAAATCACATTAAAATCACTCTTTATAAAGACATACAAGTCATTCACTTTTGCTCTGTCATAATAGTATTTGTTTAGTTTGAAAAAATCCAGAATTTTGAACACGATTTTCAGATATCAATTTTTGCACTCTCCTGCCTGTTGCCCAAGTAAAACAGTACTGTCCTTAAGTACCTTAATAATACTGAAACATTCCTATTCAAAAATCTAACAAAAAATTTAAGCTGATTATGTTAATGTCAAATAAAACCTGGCAAGAAAAAATAGTTCCATTGTACTTTTTTAACTAGTTACAAGATTAAGGACTAGAATATTAATTGGTTGCTGATAATCATTTTTTTCTGCACTTACTGTTTTAATTCTTTCACTTATTTGGACTAAGTCTTAATCGATGAATCAGTGGGTAGGTAATTGAAAATATTGTCTTTAGGATAAAATGCACTCAAAAGCATCTTGTAAAGGAGTGTTTAAGCATGAAGTCCCAGATCATATCTGGACGCAGGCATAGAGAAAAAAGTCTATTGGTACCCAGGATATTCTTAGACATTTTTGTAGTCTGTGGTGCTGATATGTTTTTTTTAAGTGATGATTTGTAACCAACAATACTAAAAACATGATTTTATAAAATAAAAAATACCTTAAGGTTGTTGGACATATTTAATTCTTTCACTTATTTGGAATAAGTATTAATTGATGAATCAGTGGGTAGGTAATTGAAAATAGTTTTTAGGATAAAATGCACTCAAAAGCATCTTGTAAAGGAGTGTTTAAGCATGAAGTCCCAGATCATATCTGGACGCAGGCATAGAGAAAAAAGTCTATTGGTACCCAGGATATTCTTAGACATTTTTGTAGTCTGTGGTGCTGATATGTTTTTTTTAAGTGATGATTTGTTACCAACAATACTAAAAACATGATTTTATAAAATAAAAAATACCTTAGGGTTGTTGGACATAGGATGAGACAATTGAGGTAAGTGTGCCAATTGTGGATGAGGAGCTCCCCAGTAGTCACTGGACATCTTTTCTTCTGGAGAACTGAAATTAGGGGGACTAAGTATTAATAAAACAGAAGGGAATACTTTTTAGATGTCTTAAACACAAAACATGAGATTAAACATTTTTGGTTAAATATGAAAAATAGAAAATGCTTATTAATAATCTTTTTTTTATTATTATAAGAGAAAATCTTGCCTTTTAGCTCTGAAAAAATAAACTACTTTAAATTCTACAAACATTATTAATTGACATTTAAAACCACTAAGTAATTTATTACAGCCAAAAACAAAATGTATTCTTGAAGCACTTTTAGAAAATCACTGCAAAAGCAAACAAAACATTAGATGCAGTCATAAATTTCCCTCATGGGCACATTTCATTCTCTTTAATCATCATATATGGGATATTGAAAAAATAATTACCATCTACCAGATAAGTGGCCATTGTCCTTTGGAACCCCATACCTAATGACAGTTTGCCATGGTGTGAACTTCTCTTCTTCACTAGGACTGGAACTTTCATACTCATTGGGACTATCTTCCTCAGATCGGTACATTAATGTCATGCTATCCTCATAGTCATGATCTAAACGAATTCTTTTACCACCAATTGTATGCAGATCTCCATTCCAATTTGCAGTAGGCTGATCCATCAGACTATTAATGCTACCGAGTTTTTTTCCACGACGAGATATTGTGTAATGTAATGGATCATGACCCTCTCTCCTGATCATTTCTGGTAAAATTCTTCTCCTTGCATTAATGAACCAATTGCAAACTTGCAATACAGTGAGATTAGCTTCTTGAGACAATGTAAGTTTCTCAGCATCACTGGGGTAAGCATTGTACCTATGTTCATATAACCATCTCTTCAGGATTTTTACAGAATGTTTGGGCAGATTACCTCGCCTCTTACGAATGGGTGTATTCATGGGATGGGTGACCATTGTAGAATATGTCTGCTGATGTTGCTGAAGATCTTCATGATCATGATCGGAACCCGAATCATTTTCGTCAGTACTACTACCTGATTGAAATCTTTCTTGATCTGCAAAAAAATTGTTCATTTTTGTAAGTTTCTAAAAATGCAGTTTGTTTTCATAAAGAAAATCGAAACAAAGGAAAATATGATAGCAACCAAAAAACATTCGAATTTGAACGGCGGACAGTTGAAAAATTCTGCCAACTAGCGGTTTTACCGCACATATTTTACGTTGCAATAAAGTGAACCAATACAGTGTTTTACTCAATGCTTTTCAATGAGGCATGAATTATGAATAGTAATTTATACGATTTTTCTTTAATCTATGCTGCTATTTCCGTCATTCATTGTTAATTTCATAAAGAAAAATTGAAAAGCATCCTTCAAAGTTTTGAAAACAAAGTTTTATGTCAAACCATTTTGACAGATGACGAGAATGGCTACCTCGTGGTCTCTTGTTATTTAACCGCCTAAACAAGAAAACATAATTACACAGAAATATAATGCCCAGACTTTGCACGCACATTAATAATAACTTAATTACAAAAATATACATAAGACATGCATCAACAGCAATGTAAAAGGGTACTTACGGTCCTTCATTTTCATAAGATTTGTAGGTTGACAGGTGATAGCGTGTGTAGCAATATTTACGTAACACTTTCGTTTTATTTACCGCCGGTATATGATAATATTTTTATAAGAAAGCACTCTGCAAAGGTCAGCTTTTGATAAATCTTTCTTAATTAGCCAGTTCAACAGGAAACAAACACAAAAATCGGCATGTTCCTGTAGCAATAACGGCTAGGCCGTTAGACAGAATGTTACGGCACTATTTACGATGACAGAACTTGGAAAACTTCACAAACATTTACTTATGCACAAAAACTACTACTCCACTGGTAGCAAGACGATATTTCAATATTTTTACACAAAAATTATGTTAAGCGTGCTTTCAGACTTGACAGTTTATATGGCGGTCAAACGAGACTTTTGAATAAAATGCGCAGACGCAAAAATGCTACACTCACGTGATTCTGCCAGATAGAAAAGGATAGAAGATATATGAAGACTACCTATGCTACAAGATTAAGGTTCCACATTTCAGCTGATTTGTTGAAATGACATTTCAGTTGACTACATCTTGCAGGGTCTTAATTTCTCAATTTTGGAGATCTGTGAAATTGACTAATCAACAATGGATTTTCTGGCCAGAAGGAAGTTATGTTTGTAAATCAGTATGTTTTGTGTTGTAAAGCCACATTCATTTTCGTACTTACATACAAGCACATACAAGATACAAGCAAAATTTGAGGATATCACAGGTCAAGGTCATCGTGATCACGTGATCCATCGAACATGTGATTAATCGTGGTTTATGTATAGTGGTCCATGTTTTAAATTCTAAAAACAATGCAAATTCAAGAATTCAAGTGAATCATTCAACTGATAACTCATCTTACTGCTATTTTTATGAGGATATAGTGGTTCAATTTTCTAGGAGCTTAGGGTAGGCATCGAGCTCTAAATTACAATGCAGTTTTTATTGAAAATAGTCAGTTGGAAAGGTATTGCCAGTACGGTAGTGGTTGGCTCTATAATATACGGCTTGAAGTGAGTCTCAATATTATCATCCTTTATTATAAATTCACTTTCATATTTGTAGGAAGTACTTTGGAGGTGGTGTTTGCTACTGTAGCACAAGATTAGATGGTCAAGTTGTTGTCATTACTGGTGGAAATTCTGGCATTGGAAGAGCTTTATCTGTAGAATTAGTGAATAGAGGTGAGTCTACTTAAACAATTAAAATATTTTATTTTACAGTTTGACAAGACACTGATGCAAATTAACACCAATTTATACAAGCACAGCCATGACCACTCTTCTTCACATGGAGTTGGTTTGTCATCTAGAGACAGTGGCCTTATTATGGTTTCAAGTTAAGGACCTCCTGATGCTATGGTCACAGATTATACAGATGGGACACCTGCTGTCAATCTCTTTGATCTTCATGTCCCTAGCTGCTTACCACACTCCCCAGTTATGCTCATTAGCGTCCAGAGGAGTATTTCTAGGGGTTGTTACTCGTTACTAGCCTGACGTCACAAATGTCATATATCAAGCTATAGAATGAAGAAATTTGTGTTTATTCTTTCCCCAAATGCATTTAGGCCAGATAACTGATTTGTATTGATAAAACTGTTTTGTGTCAAAACATTCCACGGATAAGCTCCTAAATGTCACAGCGACAGGAATCCCACCAAATGCATAGAACTCAAGTTGGCGTTGATTGAACCTGATTTTTGACAGAGTGTTGCCTCTGGTAGTACTCTGTGTTATGGCTTTAATAGTTTTTGCCAATAAAATGACACAATATACATGTTAATTATAACCTCATTTGATATTCTCCTCATATACCATTTTGTGTGGGCCATAACATCAGTCATTCCTACACTTATAGGATGCCTTTATAGCCTCCTTGTGGGCTAGATTTCTACTATTCTGTATCAGCATTGCCACCCTCCTATTGTGAGGCTATTGTTTCATTTTGAATCCTAGTAAATTTGACAAGTACACAGAAATACCTTGGAAACTACAAACATTCACAAAAAAGTGAAAAAACGCGGAGTTATAACGCAGCACTGCCCTCAAATATCTTTAGCAGAATATTTTGTACAATGTCAAATTCAGAACTCGGGGGTACCATTAGAAAAAACTACCTTTGGGTCAGAAAATGTCAAGAAATACTTCCGAATGACTAAAAATTCCCACAAAAGCGAAAAAAGGCATAGTTGTTCCAGCTTGCAACCCCCTTTAGATATCTCCAGAATAATCCTAAGTACACATTCAAAAGCAGAACTTGGGGGTGCTATTAGAAAAAACTACCCTTGGTAGGAAAAATGACGAGAAATGCCTTCACCTGCTTTTGAAATTGTACAGAATATTATGCTAAAGTTTTTTCTAATGGCGCCCCCGAGTTCTGCATTTGAAATTGTACAAAATATTATGCTAAAGATATTTGAAGGCAGTGCTGCGTTATAACTCCGCGTTTTTTCACTTTTTTGTGAATGTTTGTAGTTTCCAAGGTATTTCTCGTCGTTTTTCCCAACCAAGTGTAGTTTTTTCTAATGGAGTTCTGCTTTTGAAATTGAATTGGGTGTTATGCTAGAAACATCTAAAGGGGGTGCTGTGCTAGAGCTCTGTGATTTAACACATTTGTGAGAATTTTCGGTATTTCAGAGGTATTTCTCCACATCTTCCCCAACCAAGGATAGTTTTCTCATAGAATTCCCAATTTCAGTGTGAGGCTTACTGTGCTGGAGTGCCGTGTACTTGTCGAATTTCCTGGCGATAGATGTGACATGCTAGTGAATTGTCTCATGGATCGTTAATGCTGATTTATTTTTTTTAATTCTAGGAATTTTTCAGGATGCTTGCTAAAAACTATTGAAAACTGTAGAACTATTCAGTAGCATTTTTTAAATTCCGCAAAAAACTGCAGAACTATTGTTGAGAACTGTGTCATCTGTCAAAAATAGAAAAATTCAAAAACGTGGTGTTTACATATGCCTATATGTGGTTGCCATGACACTTTATTCTTTTGGTTTCAAAAAACATTAGGTGGCTATGTGTTATTCTATCCATAAACATAAAATAGGGTATATTCAAATAATTCAGACTACCTTGCATCCTTCATAGGAATAGTCTATCTATACAAGTCCAATGTTTTTTTTTAAATAATTTCTCCAGCTACATTGGGATGGGGTGGGAAACATTAAGCTATGAATATGTATATTAAGAAAATAAAATGAAAGCTAACACTCAACCCTCTGTTAGGTATTCAAATATGTTTCATATTTTGTTTCCAGGAGCTACTGTTGTTTTGGCTTGCAGAAGCATCGAAAAGGGCCTTGAGACAAAAACACATATTTTGTCAAAGAATAGAAAAGCAAAAGTATTTGTTAAACACTTGGACTTGTGTAGTTTTTCCAGTGTTGTTAAATTCTGTGATACATTGAACTTGGAATTTAGTGAGATATATGGCTTGGTGAATAATGCTGGAGTCTTTTATCATCCACATGGTACAACAGAGGATGGTTTTGAGGTTACTCTACAAACTAATTATTTAGGTATTTGTTTTAAATAATTTATTTATGTATATATATATATCTCCAATATGTATATTTGTATCTGTTTTAGGCCCTTTTATCCTAACTCATCATTTACTTAAGTTATTGAAGCAGTCCATTCATGCTAGGGTTGTTAATGTTGTTTCTGATGAACATAGAAGAGTGAGCATTAACCAATTGATAGCAATTACTAAAAATCAGGCTGATTTCAAAGGGCATTTTGTCCATTATGGTGCTTCTAAGTTGGCATTAGTCCTGTTTACAAGAGAGCTGGCAAGAAAATTGCAGAGTAAGTTCATCTTAGTTATTATAAAATGAGCCTAATATTAAATAAAATCAGCAGTTTATCTAAATGTAATTGGTTTCAAATCTTAAGATTCACCAAAGTTGCAAATGAGTGAAATAAAAGGTATTTGTGTTGATATCTGAATCTTTCTTACATCAGAAATATGTTTATTTCAATAAAAGATTTATGTATGTAGTCATTTTTCACAAATTGTGGATAACAATAACCAGACTATTAACTATTTTTTCCTCATACAGGTTTAGATCAGCTTACTTCCATAAAAAGTTAAAAAAACACTGTGTGTAATGATTCACCTCACTTATAAGACAACAAGCTGATGCATAAATATAAATAATCGCATTTTCTGAATTAACTCACTGAATAATTCGACGAATTTTTCACAACTTAGTTACCAGTTGCACCTGGCATGATGGCGTCTATAAAAAACTCATTTACGCTACCAGGAACGGACGAGCCCTCATGCAATTTTGGAATTACTTTCAATGTCATATACAGGATAAACTTCGGCGATCAATTATTCGAAAAGTTGATGTTAGACAAATATGAAAACTTGAGGTCATGGTATAACTGATGTGAAGAATTCTGCAAATATATTTTCAAAATGCTGGTACTTCCAGTTGTACCAGAAGTAGATACCATCTTGCTTATTTTAAATACAATACCCTGTATATTACTCACTTTTTAAAATCTACGCGGGATTCTAAATACATTTCATGTATAACATCCTATATCTAGCTCTAACCTTTTATGAGAAATATCAAATTTTATATGAAAAATCGCAGATGCGTGTTCAAAAAAGCCAAGCAAGTTTCCATGTATTTAGTTAACTTCCTTTGATATTATATAGTTAAAAATCTGATGAAAATCAAATAGACTACTTGACTCATATCTAATTTCATAGAATAAATGAGTATTCCTACAGTATTTGGCTTAGGAAAACAAAATATATGGATTTCGCTTTTTAATACGAGACTATGAAAACACTATCGGTCATGATGTGAAGTCATACAAATTATAAATAGAGAATCGTCATTTTTATGTCACTCGTGGACTGACATTGTCATCTTTAACTATTTCTGAAAAAGTTGTAATCAACGTAAAAAGTTATCGTTTTCTCGTTTTATGGAAAATAGAAACAATAATCGACGTTGGATTCGTAAAAGCAGAAAGCATAAATTTGCGAAAAATTGACACATTGGTGGTTGGTAATTTTTTGCCTTCAACCCAGATTTCTGCTCTGCTAAGCCGAGGAACATCAAAACTTCTATCTGAGTTCAGTGCATCTGATATAATGATAGACATAAAAACAAAAAATATCTAATACAGATAATCTTCCTTTTCAGAAGTCATTCAAAAGTAAGTTCATGCGTCGTAACCTCTTAATAATTTTATCTAATACTACAATATATATATTTTTTTATATTCCAACTACCACGAAGGCCTGAGGCCTAAGCACCCATTGGGTACCGTGGGGCTACAGGGGGATACATGGGAAAGGGGGAACGCCACACGGACTCTGGCGAGGGAACACGTGTGCATGCAACATGCACACATTCTGGCTCCGCCTACGAGATCCGCCGGGTGGTACCTCCGCGTTCGACAGTCAGAGACCATCTACCACCTACGGACAATCACAACATCCATAGCCAAGAGAAAAATTTCTCCTGGGACGGGACTCGAACCCGCACAGCGCACGGCAACTGATCAGGAGACCGAAGAGTCTACTACTGCGGCCACCGCTGCTGCCTAATCTGGAAGTCCTGCGATCTCAGCATGTAATGGGACAGATATACACGCGCAGTCCCAGTTCCCAACCCCTACAAAATTTTTCTGAAACTGAACAGTTTATTTTACCGTTTTTTGTCCTCCCGGTTCAACGGCACTACAAGGCTTGTTTGTCATTGTGTAAAAATATCATGAAAACCCGAGAGCCACCTTCCAAGTAATATAGACGCGATTACAATACTTCCTTGCCAGTGGCATGGGAAGCAAAAACATGAAATTGACATTTATACATGTATGTGTCAATATAGTGATGTCATTGTGATCAAAACTATAAAACATGTATAGTTTATCGAAATAGAAAATTAAATTAGCTACTTTACCGATAAACAATAAATTTCGTACCATAACCAGTTCCTGGTCCATCCTCCATATTTCTTTCTTTCAGACACAAACGTTATAGTGAATTCGGTCGATCCAGGCAACGTAGAAACTGCGATCTACCGCAACTTTTTCCCATTGAGCAATCCTTTGCTGTACGCTCTCCAGTGGATTATACGGGTGGTTGTCGTGAAGACTCCGACCGAGGGTTGTCAGACGCTGTTGCACGCATTGCTTACACCGAACAGAACTACAGGCCAGTACTACTCTGATTGCAAATTGGCATTATCCAGCCCGATCGCCGCAGACGAACGCATTTGCAGGGAGTACTATCAACTGACGCTGGAAGTGCTATCCAATTGGTTTACTACTGAGTCTGAGTGCTAAGTTTGAGGTAAGATGTAACTGTGCACTTCACGCACACTTTCATCAGTTCATAAAGGATTATGTTCAGCGCAGGTTAGCTCCTGTGAGAAAAAGTCTGCGAACATGTGTAATAGAAAAATTAAATCGATCAAGTCAATCAAACAGACCTGCAAAATTAGTCCAAAGTCCCTACCCATTTAATAACGCCGCGATTTAGAAAATTTTTCCCTGTCCTACCAACGGTACCAACCGTCTGGCAACGTTGTTATGATTAATCTCTCCAATCGTTGGCCACGGCAACCACTTATCAGTCAGGTGACGACATTGGTATATATATATATATATATTCATATATACAGAAGTCTATGATGAGTGAAATATGTCTAATAGGTGCGTAGAACCACTGGGGTTGTAAGCGAACGCTAATATGCCAACGCCATAAAATTGATGTATACTTTCTCCCGACCCTACAACCCCTAATATTTAACCGCTTCAACATTTTTCTGAAAATGATCAGGAGCCTCCGAGACGTCGTCAAGTTTGAACGATTTTTATTTTTTCGTCTTTTGCCTATAGCTCCGATGCCATTGAACCGGTTTACAAAAACTTCAGAGACAGACAGATATATAGAGCGACGGAAAAAAGTGACATGGCTTTTTAGTATGTACATGTCATTAACATCCAAAAACATCTCATTTTAGAAATTTTCCCCAATTACAATACTTTCTCGCCAGTGGCATGGATAGAGAAATTAATATAATCAGTCTTATTTATGGTTACCACAAATGGTTCAGCTATTTATTACTTTACGTATTTGGTAAGATGCTGTTACCATTGTTACCAAGTGGTCTCTTCTGTATGAGCGTTTTTTTTTTCTTTTCTGGTCTTTTTCTCCGTCGCTTCCCGACCGACTTTCGAAAACTATTAATCTTTTTGCCCTTGGCATAGTAGTAACTTTGTGTAAAAATTTTATCCAAATCTGAGCAGTACTTTCCAAGCTATAGACGGCCAAGGATTACCGGATAGACCGACAGACAGAACAACGGAAATGAGTAAATGGTTTTTCGTGATGTGATATGACATAAAAAAATGGCGTCAACGCCGTTATGAGATCATAAAAGATTATGTTCTGCACAAACTAGACCCTCTGAGAAAATAGGTCCATAAACATTCTTTCCCTGCCCTATCGGTAGTGCATCTGGAAACCTAACTCGGGCAGAAGTGGCAATGTGGTAGCTCGGTGAGAGCATAGAAAACACTATGCAGTTGCGTGTGATTCCATACCAGAACATTCATCGCACGATGCAACGCCATCAGAAGCCGCGGCCGATAGATACCGATCCGTCCTCCGTGTATATCTTTTCAGATCATAAGAGCACATTTAAATCTTTTCTTAATCCGAATACCATTGAATTTTGTGGGCTGGTAGCGTATTTTTTACTTAAACCCGGTATTGACAAAGCCCGTCGCTCAAGAAAAGGGTAATATACAGGTTTAAAAAATTATGTTTCACTGTCAAAGCCAAAGATTAGGTGTAACTTCTTAAACTTATCCTGTGGTTATCTGTATGTTATCATTAGCCGTACTTGTATCTGTCTTTGTCGAAAAGAGCATTTTGAACTTTAACCAAAACCATATATACCCTATTTCGGCACAGGACACATAATTCTAACGGATCGGACAACGTCAGGTAGGCACAGCCGATTTTGTTTTGGTTTTCTGAACGCTGCGTATTCATTTTGTACTTGCTAACAGCTCTTTTATTTAGAAAAGTTCATTTGCATATAAAAAATAAAACGCTACAAACATGTTTTACTAGATTTACACCCGATTCATTATTGCCAACGTCGCGGAATAAAACAAAAATGTCAGTTGCTGATCAGCTGTTCACCTCAGTAGAGTCAAAGCGTGATTGATACCCGTGAAATAGGGTATATTCATGTATCTATAACCTAAATTTACTTTTTCAGACAATGATGAAGCAGTGGACGTCTCCTGAAAACAAAATCAAGAAGGAGGTTTTAGTCCCAGGAAAATTTGGTAACAAACCTTCTGAATGGTGTGAATGTACCATTACCATCACAGAATGTCCCCAATTACAAAATATCAATAAAGTAGTGAGAGTAGGCGATAGTGACGGCGAACTCTGGGGTGCCATAGACATAGGACTGATGACTATGTTCGATAAAGAAAAAGCAAAGTTTATAATAGATGTCAATGGTACTCAAGTACCACTGATTTTGGAGTTGCACAGTTTCAAAACTAACGGATTGATATACGAGTGGGATGCTTCTAAAAAATATGAAATAGCAGTCCACCATAAAGAGAAAGGAAACGAGTTTTTCGCCCAAAATAATAACAGAGACGCTGCATTTAGATTCACGAAAGCATTGAAAATCATTTCATTGGTTCCCATAGATGTAGAGGAACCCCCTGAAGAAATCGACGGCGTCACCATTGAAAACATCAATCGTCTCAAGGCGACATTGTTCAATAACCTTTCCACATGCTACTTCAGGAATCAAATATGGAGTATGGTTATAGACATGTGCAATAAGGTACTATCATATGATACAAATAATGTAAAAGCACTTTATAAACTTGGTGTCGCCTATGAGAATGATAGGAACTTTGAGAAAGCTTATGAGGCTCTTACAAAGGCCTTGAAGTTAGATCCTGGCAACAAGGCTAGTGCTGAACATTTGGTAAATATTAAGGAGGAGTTAAAGAAGGCTGAAAATAGGGTAAATAATATGATGAAAAAGATGTTTGTTGGTGCGTTACAGAATTAGTTTTAGTTTTTTTTAATAAATAGTGTTAATGTTTCAGACTGTTTTGTTAATGAAGTATTAGTTTATTATTAGTACATAATATTCAACTTTGTCGTTTCTTGTTTCCTAAGAGATATATTAATAGGCGAGTGTCGAGCCACCACGATCCACTTAAGAAGGAATTGTATCCAAAACTCAAACATTTGAATTTGATTTATTCTTCAGATGTGACATTGATCTTTGATTTTAATACTCATTCGGAATTAACCCGTTCTTGCGATTGCCCGTATCCAAAAAGGTGCTTTAATTTGAATAACAAAAGCCGACTTTGATATAACCTTGAAGGTGAGGCCGAAGGTCAAATCCAAGGTCACCATAATATTCCTTGTTCAAAGTTAGTATAGATCTGACCATGACCTTTTTTCAAAAATACTGTTACTATCGTAGAATCAGACAACAGTGAGAATGGGTGAAGGATCCTGATGTGTGCGATAAACGTTTATGCTGTATGGGCTTTTATCCACGTAAAAGCGCTCAAAAGGTGAGTGTAGGCTGAGTCGCTTAGCAAAAATGTGTTTAGATCCCTGATGTTCCACCCCCACTCATCAGTTGCCATAAGATCGTTCCTCCCGTCTTTTTGCTAATCGAAAGTTGCCAGGAATGAAAAATCTCTTTATATAGGATTTTTAGGTATTTTTGAGACCTACAAAATGAGGCTACACGTAAAAAGATCCGACTAATACCAAAAAAGTTATGACCGAAAACCGAGGCAAACTGCAGGTTTTGGCACTTGTAGGTAATGCGACGATGGTTTCTTGCAGATGCTTGAAATTCTTCAAATTCGCACTTCTAAATAACCACAACAAAATTTTATAGATTGGTATAGTAGTTTTTTAGAATTTCTAATTGTTTATCCCAAAACACCTGATTTCCGGCCATCATTACTAGTTTATTGAGCAATATGCAGGGTTAGTTCAAAGGGCATTTTAAGGCAAAATACACTAGTTTACCTTGCCGATATGAATCGCAAACCATTCCGGAAGATAAATGTTATTTTTATGCAAAAAATGTGTTACGTTTTTTCTTCTAAACAAATTCAAACATTTCGTATTTGTGAGTAATTCGCAACAAAAGATGTTAGATACATCCGTTTTGTTTTAAACTATGTATAGTAACGTATGTTTTTCGAATATCGTAGCGCATTTGTTCAATTACTCACAAATACGAAACGTAACCTTCGTTTTTCGCATAAAAATAACATTTATCTTTCGGAATGGTTTTTGATTCATATTTTGCTATTAAATGCTCTTTGAACGAACCCTGTATATTGATTAATAAACTAGTAGTGATGGCCGGAAACAGGTGTTTTGGTATAAATTCTCAAAACACTACCTGCCTAATATACTCCAATTTTGTTGTTGTTATTTAGAAGTATGAATTCTACGGATTAGAAGAATTTCAAGTAGTTGCGTGAAATTATCGTCGCATTACAAACAAGTGCCAAAACCTGCATTTTGCCTCGTTTTTCGACCATATCATTTTTGCTATTAGTCGGATCTTTTTTACGTGTGGTCTTATTTTGTAGGTCTTATAAATATAACTAAAAATCTTATATGAAAAGTTTGTTTGTTCCTGTCAACACTTTCGATTGAATCCCAAAAAACACGTTTTCTCATTCTTTGTTGTCAAATAAAAAGTTTTCCCACAAAAATTGGTGTACCCATTTTATACGTCTATGTTTTAAATACCCCCTTGAACAACTTGCACCAATAAAACCAGACTTTGCAATTATTTCGGGGAAATTTGCTAATATGATTATACTAGATGGTATTTACATAGTAAACTTCTGAAGTTAGTTTCACCAGTCTATGTTCAGGTGTGCGAATCCGGGCCTATGAAACAATATCATATTGTAATAATAATGTATATGATTTCACGTACATTTTTATGGAAATAAAAAATATGCATAGGGAAGTTGTTTTTTGAAGTTGTCAGCTGAGCCAGTGGTGGGAGTGAAGATGTGACCACAATAACAGACTGTCAGAAACTTTTTATTACCAAAACCATTTAAACAGATGTATCAACAAAAACACATTTTATACACCACCACAATTTCATTTTTATCTTTGAAGAGCTGAGCACTTAGTATATGTACATAAAAGTGATGACCCACTTAAAAAATATGTTAAAACAATCGTAACTTTATTATATACCATTTAACCTAAATCCTCTTTTGGAATCTATCACAACTTATGGTCTACTTGTTAATTTACATGAAAGATTCATTAAAATCATTGATATTTACCAAGTAATTATAGCATAATATGTGGAGGCACTTCGGTGTAAATATATTGCATCATCAAATTATTCTACAAAACAGTTTTAAAAGCATTTATACATCGTGTTTCCAAAACATGAGACAAAAACTATTCATACAATTTTTTTCTCTTTCGAGATAGTGCTTTGTTTCAAAGATACACAAAAGGGCGTTAATGAAAATCTTTTTTTTCAAATACTTTTGAACAATAAAGTATAATGGTCTAACATGAAAACCCATGAAAAACGATTGCCTCATTTAGCCCGCCTGGGACGGGCTAGCCCTAACCTAGTATTTTGGTGCCGTGTTTCGCAAGCCTGTATCTCCAAAACGAAACAATAACACCTTGAAATGTTGTCCCTGTTTTATAAACATTCTGTATATGTGTAGATTTCGAGTACAGACTTCTGTTAGCTACTGCTTCAGTTATTAATGTGTTAAGAATGATTTGTTTGATACAATGAATACAAATCTTCTGAGTATGCCCTTGTTTTTATATATGGAGGATTTATCTCGCAGGACTTTAACAAAAAAAGTTTTAGACACACTGGTCACTATGCTATTAAATTGAACATATCTCATTTTGCTATTCAACCGTATAGATTGTTGCCAATAGCTCATACAACTTTTCACTCCATTTCCTGTTGTCAAAAAACGGAACTACACTTGAGACGTGGAGCCGAAAACTATACTCAAATATTTCTTACTAGAGACTAAATCTGTAGTTTTCCTGTCTGTACTTATCGAGCAAGAATTCACATATGTTAAAAACTCTCAATGGACTAATATTTACATCGATAATGGCTCTGAAGGCCGAATTTGTAAGTTTTACAATTTCCGAGTACATGCATATATGGATTATAATAACGGTTTTACTTCGTAGATACTAACAGGCAAGAGGATATATAACTATATAGTGTAATAAGAAAATGAAGCCTGGTTCTGGTCAGTTGCAGAGACAGCGAACCAATGGTCATTTCAGATACTATAGCTACATCATTATAATCGGAATTTATACAAAACCTGCAGAAAATCCAATGAGGTTTTACTTTAAATTTTTTTTTCACATACAATCATGTATGGAAATCGGTTCATAATGGCCATAAAAGCCAATAATTTAGTTATCTCCTGTGGATCTGGCATTTTTGATATTCAAGAGAAAAATTCAAGTTGATTTATGCGATAATTTTCACAAATTACTATTTTGTTTAAACTAGACATCTTTCTTTGTAACATCGACGCACTGTATAACTCTGAGTCTACGATGTTCTTTGAGTTCGCTGTGAAATATACAAAAATTAATATTTAGCACCGTTAAGTCTCGTCCCAAAAGAATTTTATTGTTAAGTTATAAATAGATTTTGTTACGCTTGCTTACAGAAAAATTCTTTTATCCAAACGCCAGTATTTTTTGGAAACTAAACAAATTGTTCTAGCTCAATCCTGACCCAGTTAGTAATTACGATCATACCATCAATTCATCCTAAGTAATGTGTTATGGTACGAAATTAGCGTCCTCACATACAAGAAAAGTTTTTTGAATAAAATTTGATTGCAATGATCTAAATTGCTAGTCAGAGGCTGAACGCCTTGTTCTCAAGAAAAACAGCTCATAGAATATATCTTCCTTTCCCGCAATGTATAAAGAAAACGTTGCAGCTTCATTGCTATATAGGGCGACGCTGTTGCAAAAAAGATATCCAAGATTAACCATTACAAAATTCAGAAAACTATTGCACGAATCAATCTGAACTATTTAACCAATCTTAAGCAGCGAAAGTGCTACCTCTTCAGGAGAAGAACTAAACTTGTTCTTCAGCAGATTTCTCAGCAATGTGTCAATCTGTTAATTAGTTTTTGAACACATTACAAGATTGCCTTAATTTTCCAAGAAAACCCAGTTCTACGTGTGATCGAAAATATGGAAACATGCAAATTTGGAACGTTAATTGTTAAAAACACAAAAATATGCAGTATACCTAAACTATCTGAAACGACCATTGGTTTGCTGTCTCTGCAGCTGTTCTGGCAAAGGTATTACCCTTCTCTGATAGGTTTTGCATTCCTTCACAAAATATTCCAGCAAATGTAAAAAATAAAAATCTATTCCCGATTATATGTCAACCATTTTTTATTTTGTATTGTTGGGTACAAAACTAATTTTTTGAGAATATATTTGGGGCAATATCATTTTAGGGCAATCTTATATCCCCTGTGAGATGTAGGATAATACAATTAGAAACCATATCCTATACTTAACAGTATTATCCTTTGAAAATTATTTTTGGAGCATTCACGATTATTCAAATGCAAACTATTCAAATGATTTTGATTTTCTTAGAGAGAGCTATGAACAATGAAAACTGTGAAAATAAAGCTGTTACAGAAAAAAAAACTATATTATATTTACCAACCGACAAAGTAAAATATTTAATATGCAAGTCAATAATGTTTGAATATGTCCACTGCATGAAAACATAATTTTATTTTTTTGTTTCATTTCCATTTATAAAACAAAATTTAAAGTACATATGACATACTTGGATATTGTTAAGCTGTAATACATATATGTTGTCAGAACTTTCGTACACAAGAAGGCTAAAATACTGCCCTACTAATCATAAGCCATCCTTAGAATTATCCATATGGCTGCTGGAATCTTTTCAATTTCTCATAAAGTGACCCAAGGATGTTACTACTATTAGACATGACATTATACTTTAATGTTATTTACACACTTCACTTAAGGTAATTTCACCAATTTTGAAGAAAAAACAGAAAGAGCGAAAGAAGCAATAATGCATTTCAGATAAACTGCAGCTTTTTGATATGTGAATGATGAAAAATACTAATTGGGCTCTAGGAAGGACATAGAAAGAAATATCCAAAAATGAAGTTCTATACTCAAAGTTCTATGGCACTACTCTATCAGTTTTTTAAACATAAAAAGCCCAATTAATATATTTTTTTGAAAACAAAAGCAATGAATCGACTGCATCACATGTTCTAGGCATCAGATGTTATGAAATACAACAATCAATCCCTAGAATCCCTAATAGTGGAACTGTCCTTTTGTAATAGGTATCAAAACTGTTCAGAAACAATTATTGTCTTAAAGTGTTCAGAACACGTGTTAGATACCATGAAGTAACAAATCGCAGTTTAATGAAATAAAGAATGAAATGAACCCAACGAAGTATTTACGTACGTCACAAAACAATACAATGAACAAAAATATAAAAATAAAGTATATAACAAAAATAAGCTATATTAACACTATACTTCATTCTACGTGTATTTCATTATCATACATAATTCGTGTGCATTTTTTTGTGTCTAACCTTCAAGTACCAGTATTTGAATAAAGCTATTGCGAATGTCATACAATCAGTATATACTGTGGTTCGTTCCATCAGTATTTACTGATCTCTCCATCAACAACAGTGGATTTCTACATTACCTTACACATCAATAATTACTGATGCCCTATCTACGCGGCCAATAAAGATCACATTCCATAATAAATTCTGACAGATCACAGTAAATACTGATCGTGACATTCACCTTAAGTTATTTGGTTGGAACCTAAAAATGGCTTGCCACTCAAATTTGTATATCTTGCTAGAATAGATACTCAGTCACTTCTTATTTATCATTCTGACTGCAACTAGCTAAGATTAGGTATACTATTTCCATTCCTAATTGAAATGAAATAATAAACAGCGTCACACTCGTTTCTGTACTGTCCTAAGAAGGGGGTTAGTCCAGACATTCTTTCCCTGTCCTTCCAGTAGTTGCCGTCCATCTGGCAACGTTGTCCCTTCCCATATCGTCAGACGAGGCAGCGTCCACCGAAGCACCGCCCCGGTACAAGCGGAAGTTGTGATAATCGAAGGAGGCTCATATCAAAAATATTCCTCGATCAAGTTTTAACCACAAATAAATGGGGAAACCTATTATGTGTGAAATATGGCTAATAGGTGCGATGAATTACCGGGGACTGGGAGCGTATAGATGTACTAACATCAAAAAATTGAGAAAGGTTTTCTCCCACACTCCCTCGCCCACCCTTTGATTTTTGACCATTTATAATGTTTTAAAAAAAGATTAGGATCCTCTGAAACGTCAAAAAATCGAGGATGGCCGTTATTTATTTTTTTCGTTTTTGGTCTTTCTCCGACGCCACTGATTACATTAAATTACATCCAAATCCGAGCAGTACTTTGCAAGTTACAGACGGGTCAAGGATTAGCGGACAGACAGACCAGTGGAAATGAGTGACATTGTTTTTCGTGATGTGTATGTCATATAACATCCAAAATCATAATATCTCGTTTTCGAAATTTTTCGCGATTACAATTCTTCCTCGACCAGTGGCGTAGTGTGAAGTGAAATGTGCAAAAGCGGTAAGATAAAATGCTTATTTTCAATGCAAAATTTCATAACCAGTATTTTGACTGATGAATGGTATGTTTAGCGTTAATAACTTAATTTACTGTTAATAACGTGATTTATTGGTACACGGTCCTGATGCAATTGGTTCATTTTAGTCTCTTGTATAAATCATACGAGGTACGATTCCAGCGGTTTTTTATTGCTCTAACATACCAGCTATTTACGAGTTCTAAATTTAGTACTGTCACAGAACGGTTCTGGAACTGTCCGTGAACTATCAGAATTTTTCCAAAACCCGAACAGCCTGAATCCAGGACTACGGCAACAAAGAAGATAACTGTGCGAAGAGAACAATAATTGTCAGTAACTATAACCACAATAAGTTAGGAGTAACTGCTTCAAGTTCATCATCACTGTCAGACGACCATGACGAATCAGGATCAAAAATGATCTGAATTGAATCCATTTGTCCACTTTTCTTTTAATTTTATATAAAAAACACTCATCGAACCGCAAAAAGTAAACAGCATTTAAAGCAGAATACGTCAAATAATATATACGCATGAGTGAAAAATCTGTTCAATAATGACCCCGACAGTAAAGCAAGAACTGCTGGAACCATTCTCGAGCCATCCTAGAACTGAACCAGGATATAAATCGAACACAAAATTTCAGTTCTAAAACGGTCCGATAGTAATCCAACAGAAACCCGAACACGTCGGTTTTTTCTGCGCAGGCTCCTGATAGTTCTAGAACAGTAATGATAAAAACCCGAAGAAACCTTACCATCTATTTATACAATATTATTTTTCTTAAGGCACTGGTTTTTTATCTATTTCAATTAGGATTAGAAATACTACAACTCTCTAAAGGTATAAGTGTTTAACCATTTCCGCATGACTTTTGAACCACCTAGATATTTTAATAGAAAAAACTTCCAAGAAAACTTACCTAGAATGTAAATACATTGGAAGAAATGTGCTTTAAATCGCAATCCTATTGACTTTTTTAATCAAAATGTTCATTAAAATTTATAAAGCGCTACAGCCGTGTATGTTTTTTTGTTTTATGCTAGTTTTATTGTTACTGTGATTTATTTGATACTAGGAGATTGGACACACATTATGTGAACGCAATAAGTCTAGAATTTAATTTCATAAATGTCCGTTTTGATTATCATGTAAAATGTAATAATTATTACCTGTTGGACATAGTAAAATTGGGTAGAAAAATGCATTTGAAAGGGTCATGTTGAGTTTTAAAAATCAATAAAAGTCATATATTGGCACAATTTCAATCCAGCTACAATCCTTGAATATGTTTGAAAACATTGCACAGCTCAAAAAAGCATTTTTTGTATATGTTACCAATTTCATATTTTTGACATAGGATTTATCAGCTATCAATTCTGTTGACAGGGCGCCGAGATTTTGGGGGCAGAGCATATGTGATCCTTTGCCCAAATGCTTTAAGTTGCTTTAGTAAGTAGCTCTCAAAAAATATCTTCTTTGAGAGTGACCCCCCAATATATGCGTTTGTGCTCCTGCTGCATGGCCCGATCTGACCGCTTGCGTTACACTGAGGAAAAAAGAGGTAATGTCCACAATCAGTACAAATCACAGAATGAAAGTCACATAACGAGGTTACAAATACTTGCATATTTATCGTGATGTAGCAATATATTACCTAATACCATTAAACCCTATGTCAAAATATCCAAGCTGTCATGTTCGACAACAAGTACGTTTAAAAAGATTTTTTTAATAAGAAATAAATAATAAAAACCCTTGCTCTATTGTGTTACCAACATTGCCAAGATATCACATAAAAATAGTATAACATTTAATAACAATACAATAATAAAGTAAAGAAATGATACAATTATATATATACAATCTGAATAATGACATCTTAATGATAAAAGAGAGTCGGCAAGAGATAACAATCCCAACTTAGACGTCTACAATTGTTGCAATTTAGAGACATCAGATGTATGCTTGTACATAATATAAATATAACTGTAGCAAATGGGGGCCTATGAGCGTAATGCGATGGACGATTTGGGGCGGCTCGATGGTATATCACCCGTTCTTCTTACCACCACCGTTTACTGCCACCTTTAAAACAGAAAATACCAGTTTTGTAATCAGAATAACTTGTCAATATAATAGGATTCCATCATCAAAATCAATTTTGATTTTTCGATTTTGCACTGTAATGACAACAGCCATTTGTGTTTAACAGAACCATTGATTTAAATATTAAACCAGAAGATACCCAACTAACAAAAAAAACATATGTATCTTTTTAGCAAAAATAAGCGATATTTATGTCGTACATTATTTAAAGAATAATATCATCCTGCCATTTTTTCACTTTATATTCATAATTGCGTAGTTTATATTAAATATCAAACGGCGAGATATAGACAATGGACAAGTTTACCATTTTTTCGTTATTAGCTCAGATGAGATTTTAAGGAAAATAAAAAAATATAATGAAAAAATTATTAATTTATCTCTAAAAACAAAAAAGTACAGCCTCTCAAAGTTGCGCCCCGCGAGAATATTTTTATTCCGTCTGAACGTGACGCGTGACGTCACACTTCACTATCCAGTTGCGACGGCCGCGGCTGACTCCTGGGCCCGGGCCGACTCAATTTCCTAAGCACTCGCATAGGTACACATACAGTGTGAAGTGGATCCGAGCTTACACAATATTACTCAGGGTTTTTCGTGGGTTTCAGCAATAACGACGGCGATATGGCTAACAAACTTTAATGGCAGTAAGGCACAAAATAATTCACTAACTTAAAAAAAACATGGAACCCGGTAATCCTTAAATCCGGAAAATGGTCACGTCACCTGTTGCCTCTCTCGGCGGCGAAGGGCAACTGCCCCCTCGCTCGATCTACCACAATTTCGTCCACTGTTGCCGAGTTGCCGCGCACCTCACTGAACCACTACACAACCCCCCACTTAAATCGAGGTAACATAGATTTAAGTCTCCACACAGAGCAGAGGGTGCAAGGCAATACCGGGAACATTACTCCAGTACAACATCGCTAGGCTGCTTATAAGCTTTGAGATTGATTACATTTTCCTTAGAACGAATCTTACCATCAAGATGTCCAATGACATAGGAGTTGGGTCCCGCTTGTTGTAACACAGTATACGGTCCATCATACAGTAAAAAGAATTTAGAAATTAGTAGTAGTATAGTAGTTTTTTAGAATTTCTAATTGTTTATCCCAAAACACCTGATTTCCGGCCATCATTACTAGTTTATTGAGCAATATGCAGGGTTAGTTCAAAGGGCATTTTAAGGCAAAATACACTAGTTTACCTTGCCGATATGAATCGCAAACCATTCCGGAAGATAAATGTTATTTTTATGCAAAAAATGTGTTACGTTTTTTCTTCTAAACAAATTCAAACATTTCGTATTTGTGAGTAATTCGCAACAAAAGATGTTAGATACATCCGTTTTGTTTTAAACTATGTATAGTAACGTATGTTTTTCGAATATCGTAGCGCATTTGTTCAATTACTCACAAATACGAAACGTAACCTTCGTTTTTCGCATAAAAATAACATTTATCTTTCGGAATGGTTTTTGATTCATATTTTGCTATTAAATGCTCTTTGAACGAACCCTGTATATTGATTAATAAACTAGTAGTGATGGCCGGAAACAGGTGTTTTGGTATAAATTCTCAAAACACTACCTGCCTAATATACTCCAATTTTGTTGTTGTTATTTAGAAGTATGAATTCTACGGATTAGAAGAATTTCAAGTAGTTGCGTGAAATTATCGTCGCATTACAAACAAGTGCCAAAACCTGCATTTTGCCTCGTTTTTCGACCATATCATTTTTGCTATTAGTCGGATCTTTTTTACGTGTGGTCTTATTTTGTAGGTCTTATAAATATAACTAAAAATCTTATATGAAAAGTTTGTTTGTTCCTGTCAACACTTTCGATTGAATCCCAAAAAACACGTTTTCTCATTCTTTGTTGTCAAATAAAAAGTTTTCCCACAAAAATTGGTGTACCCATTTTATACGTCTATGTTTTAAATACCCCCTTGAACAACTTGCACCAATAAAACCAGACTTTGCAATTATTTCGGGGAAATTTGCTAATATGATTATACTAGATGGTATTTACATAGTAAACTTCTGAAGTTAGTTTCACCAGTCTATGTTCAGGTGTGCGAATCCGGGCCTATGAAACAATATCATATTGTAATAATAATGTATATGATTTCACGTACATTTTTATGGAAATAAAAAATATGCATAGGGAAGTTGTTTTTTGAAGTTGTCAGCTGAGCCAGTGGTGGGAGTGAAGATGTGACCACAATAACAGACTGTCAGAAACTTTTTATTACCAAAACCATTTAAACAGATGTATCAACAAAAACACATTTTATACACCACCACAATTTCATTTTTATCTTTGAAGAGCTGAGCACTTAGTATATGTACATAAAAGTGATGACCCACTTAAAAAATATGTTAAAACAATCGTAACTTTATTATATACCATTTAACCTAAATCCTCTTTTGGAATCTATCACAACTTATGGTCTACTTGTTAATTTACATGAAAGATTCATTAAAATCATTGATATTTACCAAGTAATTATAGCATAATATGTGGAGGCACTTCGGTGTAAATATATTGCATCATCAAATTATTCTACAAAACAGTTTTAAAAGCATTTATACATCGTGTTTCCAAAACATGAGACAAAAACTATTCATACAATTTTTTTCTCTTTCGAGATAGTGCTTTGTTTCAAAGATACACAAAAGGGCGTTAATGAAAATCTTTTTTTTCAAATACTTTTGAACAATAAAGTATAATGGTCTAACATGAAAACCCATGAAAAACGATTGCCTCATTTAGCCCGCCTGGGACGGGCTAGCCCTAACCTAGTATTTTGGTGCCGTGTTTCGCAAGCCTGTATCTCCAAAACGAAACAATAACACCTTGAAATGTTGTCCCTGTTTTATAAACATTCTGTATATGTGTAGATTTCGAGTACAGACTTCTGTTAGCTACTGCTTCAGTTATTAATGTGTTAAGAATGATTTGTTTGATACAATGAATACAAATCTTCTGAGTATGCCCTTGTTTTTATATATGGAGGATTTATCTCGCAGGACTTTAACAAAAAAAGTTTTAGACACACTGGTCACTATGCTATTAAATTGAACATATCTCATTTTGCTATTCAACCGTATAGATTGTTGCCAATAGCTCATACAACTTTTCACTCCATTTCCTGTTGTCAAAAAACGGAACTACACTTGAGACGTGGAGCCGAAAACTATACTCAAATATTTCTTACTAGAGACTAAATCTGTAGTTTTCCTGTCTGTACTTATCGAGCAAGAATTCACATATGTTAAAAACTCTCAATGGACTAATATTTACATCGATAATGGCTCTGAAGGCCGAATTTGTAAGTTTTACAATTTCCGAGTACATGCATATATGGATTATAATAACGGTTTTACTTCGTAGATACTAACAGGCAAGAGGATATATAACTATATAGTGTAATAAGAAAATGAAGCCTGGTTCTGGTCAGTTGCAGAGACAGCGAACCAATGGTCATTTCAGATACTATAGCTACATCATTATAATCGGAATTTATACAAAACCTGCAGAAAATCCAATGAGGTTTTACTTTAAATTTTTTTTTCACATACAATCATGTATGGAAATCGGTTCATAATGGCCATAAAAGCCAATAATTTAGTTATCTCCTGTGGATCTGGCATTTTTGATATTCAAGAGAAAAATTCAAGTTGATTTATGCGATAATTTTCACAAATTACTATTTTGTTTAAACTAGACATCTTTCTTTGTAACATCGACGCACTGTATAACTCTGAGTCTACGATGTTCTTTGAGTTCGCTGTGAAATATACAAAAATTAATATTTAGCACCGTTAAGTCTCGTCCCAAAAGAATTTTATTGTTAAGTTATAAATAGATTTTGTTACGCTTGCTTACAGAAAAATTCTTTTATCCAAACGCCAGTATTTTTTGGAAACTAAACAAATTGTTCTAGCTCAATCCTGACCCAGTTAGTAATTACGATCATACCATCAATTCATCCTAAGTAATGTGTTATGGTACGAAATTAGCGTCCTCACATACAAGAAAAGTTTTTTGAATAAAATTTGATTGCAATGATCTAAATTGCTAGTCAGAGGCTGAACGCCTTGTTCTCAAGAAAAACAGCTCATAGAATATATCTTCCTTTCCCGCAATGTATAAAGAAAACGTTGCAGCTTCATTGCTATATAGGGCGACGCTGTTGCAAAAAAGATATCCAAGATTAACCATTACAAAATTCAGAAAACTATTGCACGAATCAATCTGAACTATTTAACCAATCTTAAGCAGCGAAAGTGCTACCTCTTCAGGAGAAGAACTAAACTTGTTCTTCAGCAGATTTCTCAGCAATGTGTCAATCTGTTAATTAGTTTTTGAACACATTACAAGATTGCCTTAATTTTCCAAGAAAACCCAGTTCTACGTGTGATCGAAAATATGGAAACATGCAAATTTGGAACGTTAATTGTTAAAAACACAAAAATATGCAGTATACCTAAACTATCTGAAACGACCATTGGTTTGCTGTCTCTGCAGCTGTTCTGGCAAAGGTATTACCCTTCTCTGATAGGTTTTGCATTCCTTCACAAAATATTCCAGCAAATGTAAAAAATAAAAATCTATTCCCGATTATATGTCAACCATTTTTTATTTTGTATTGTTGGGTACAAAACTAATTTTTTGAGAATATATTTGGGGCAATATCATTTTAGGGCAATCTTATATCCCCTGTGAGATGTAGGATAATACAATTAGAAACCATATCCTATACTTAACAGTATTATCCTTTGAAAATTATTTTTGGAGCATTCACGATTATTCAAATGCAAACTATTCAAATGATTTTGATTTTCTTAGAGAGAGCTATGAACAATGAAAACTGTGAAAATAAAGCTGTTACAGAAAAAAAAACTATATTATATTTACCAACCGACAAAGTAAAATATTTAATATGCAAGTCAATAATGTTTGAATATGTCCACTGCATGAAAACATAATTTTATTTTTTGTTTCATTTCCATTTATAAAACAAAATTTAAAGTACATATGACATACTTGGATATTGTTAAGCTGTAATACATATATGTTGTCAGAACTTTCGTACACAAGAAGGCTAAAATACTGCCCTACTAATCATAAGCCATCCTTAGAATTATCCATATGGCTGCTGGAATCTTTTCAATTTCTCATAAAGTGACCCAAGGATGTTACTACTATTAGACATGACATTATACTTTAATGTTATTTACACACTTCACTTAAGGTAATTTCACCAATTTTGAAGAAAAAAACAGAAAGAGCGAAAGAAGCAATAATGCATTTCAGATAAACTGCAGCTTTTTGATATGTGAATGATGAAAAATACTAATTGGGCTCTAGGAAGGACATAGAAAGAAATATCCAAAAATGAAGTTCTATACTCAAAGTTCTATGGCACTACTCTATCAGTTTTTTAAACATAAAAAGCCCAATTAATATATTTTTTTGAAAACAAAAGCAATGAATCGACTGCATCACATGTTCTAGGCATCAGATGTTATGAAATACAACAATCAATCCCTAGAATCCCTAATAGTGGAACTGTCCTTTTGTAATAGGTATCAAAACTGTTCAGAAACAATTATTGTCTTAAAGTGTTCAGAACACGTGTTAGATACCATGAAGTAACAAATCGCAGTTTAATGAAATAAAGAATGAAATGAACCCAACGAAGTATTTACGTACGTCACAAAACAATACAATGAACAAAAATATAAAAATAAAGTATATAACAAAAATAAGCTATATTAACACTATACTTCATTCTACGTGTATTTCATTATCATACATAATTCGTGTGCATTTTTTTGTGTCTAACCTTCAAGTACCAGTATTTGAATAAAGCTATTGCGAATGTCATACAATCAGTATATACTGTGGTTCGTTCCATCAGTATTTACTGATCTCTCCATCAACAACAGTGGATTTCTACATTACCTTACACATCAATAATTACTGATGCCCTATCTACGCGGCCAATAAAGATCACATTCCATAATAAATTCTGACAGATCACAGTAAATACTGATCGTGACATTCACCTTAAGTTATTTGGTTGGAACCTAAAAATGGCTTGCCACTCAAATTTGTATATCTTGCTAGAATAGATACTCAGTCACTTCTTATTTATCATTCTGACTGCAACTAGCTAAGATTAGGTATACTATTTCCATTCCTAATTGAAATGAAATAATAAACAAGCGTCACACTCGTTTCTGTACTGTCCTAAGAAGGGGGTTAGTCCAGACATTCTTTCCCTGTCCTTCCAGTAGTTGCCGTCCATCTGGCAACGTTGTCCCTTCCCATATCGTCAGACGAGGCAGCGTCCACCGAAGCAACCGCCCCGGTACAAGCGGAAGTTGTGATAATCGAAGGAGGCTCATATCAAAAATATTCCTCGATCAAGTTTTAACCACAAATAAATGGGGAAACCTATTATGTGTGAAATATGGCTAATAGGTGCGATGAATTACCGGGGACTGGGAGCGTATAGATGTACTAACATCAAAAAATTGAGAAAGGTTTTCTCCCACACTCCCTCGCCCACCCTTTGATTTTTGACCATTTATAATGTTTTAAAAAAAGATTAGGATCCTCTGAAACGTCAAAAAATCGAGGAATGGCCGTTATTTATTTTTTTCGTTTTTGGTCTTTCTCCGACGCCACTGATTACATTAAATTACATCCAAATCGAGCAGTACTTTGCAAGTTACAGACGGGTCAAGGATTAGCGGACAGACAGACCAGTGGAAATAGTGACATTGTTTTTCGTGATGTGTATGTCATATAACATCCAAAATCATAATATCTCGTTTTCGAAATTTTTCGCGATTACATTCTTCCTCGACCAGTGGCGTAGTGTGAAGTGAAATGTGCAAAAGCGGTAAGATAAAATGCTATTTTCAATGCAAAATTTCATAACAGTATTTTGACTGATGAATGGTATGTTTAGCGTTAATAACTTAATTTACTGTTAATAACGTGATTTATTGGTACACGGTCCTGATGCAATTGGTTCATTTTAGTCTCTTGTATAAATCATACGAGGTACGATTCCAGCGGTTTTTTTATTGCTCTAACATACCAGCTATTTACGAGTTCTAAATTTAGTACTGTCACAGAACGGTTCTGGAACTGTCCGTGTGAACTATCAGAATTTTCCAAAACCCGAACAGCCTGAATCCAGGACTACGGGCAACAAAGAAGATAACTGTGCGAAGAGAACAATAATTGTCAGTAACTATAACCACAATAAGTTAGGAGTAACTGCTTCAAGTTCATCATCAATGTCAGACGACCATGACGAATCAGGATCAAAAATGATCTGAATTGAATCATTTGTCCACTTTTCTTTTAATTTTATATAAAAAACACTCATCGAACCGCAAAAAGTAAACAGCATTTAAAGCAGAATACCGTCAAATAATATATACGCATGAGTGAAAAATCTGTTCAATAATGACCCCGACAGTAAAGCAAGAACTGCTGGAACCATTCTCGAGCCATCCTAGAACTGAACCAGGATATAAATCGAACACAAAATTTCAGTTCTAAAACGGTCCGATAGTAATCCAACAGAAACCCGAACACGTCGGTTTTTTCTGCGCAGGCTCCTGATAGTTCTAGAACAGTAATGATAAAAACCCGAAGAAACCTTACCATCTATTTATACAATATTATTTTTCTTAAGGCACTGGTTTTTTATCTATTTCAATTAGGATTAGAAATACTACAACTCTCTAAAGGTATAAGTGTTTAACCATTTCCGCATGACTTTTGAACCACCTAGATATTTTAATAGAAAAAACTTCCAAGAAAACTTACCTAGAATGTAAATACATTGGAAGAAATGTGCTTTAAATCGCAATCCTATTGACTTTTTTAATCAAAATGTTCATTAAAATTTATAAAGCGCTACAGCCGTGTATGTTTTTTTGTTTTATGCTAGTTTTATTGTTACTGTGATTTATTTGATACTAGGAGATTGGACACACATTATGTGAACGCAATAAGTCTAGAATTTAATTTCATAAATGTCCGTTTTGATTATCATGTAAAATGTAATAATTATTACCTGTTGGACATAGTAAAATTGGGTAGAAAATGCATTTGAAAGGGTCATGTTGAGTTTTAAAAATCAATAAAAGTCATATATTGGCACAATTTCAATCCAGCTACAATCCTTGAATATGTTTGAAAACATTGCACAGCTCAAAAAAGCATTTTTTGTATATGTTACCAATTTCATATTTTTGACATAGGATTTATCAGCTATCAATTCTGTTGACAGGGCGCCGAGATTTTGGGGGCAGAGCATATGTGATCCTTTGCCCAAATGCTTTAAGTTGCTTTAGTAAGTAGCTCTCAAAAAATATCTTCTTTGAGAGTGACCCCCCAATATATGCGTTTGTGCTCCTGCTGCATGGCCCGATCTGACCGCTTGCGTTACACTAGGAGGAAAAAAGAGGTAATGTCCACAATCAGTACAAATCACAGAATGAAAGTCACATAACGAGGTTACAAATACTTGCATATTTATCGTGATGTAGCAATATATTACCTAATACCATTAAACCCTATGTCAAAATATCCAAGCTGTCATGTTCGACAACAAGTACGTTTAAAAAGATTTTTTTAATAAGAAATAAATAATAAAAACCCTTGCTCTATTGTGTTACCAACATTGCCAAGATATCACATAAAAATAGTATAACATTTAATAACAATACAATAATAAAGTAAAGAAATGATACAATTAATATATACAATCTGAATAATGACATCTTAATGATAAAAGAGAGTCGGCAAGAGATAACAATCCCAACTTAGACGTCTACAATTGTTGCAATTTAGAGACATCAGATGTATGCTTGTACATAATATAAATATAACTGTAGCAAATGGGGGCCTATGAGCGTAATGCGATGGACGATTTGGGGCGGCTCGATGGTATATCACCCGTTCTTCTTACCACCACCGTTTACTGCCACCTTTAAAACAGAAAATACCAGTTTTGTAATCAGAATAACTTGTCAATATAATAGGATTCCATCATCAAAATCAATTTTGATTTTTCGATTTTGCACTGTAATGACAACAGCCATTTGTGTTTAACAGAACCATTGATTTAAATATTAAACCAGAAGATACCCAACTAACAAAAAAAACATATGTATCTTTTTAGCAAAATAAGCGATATTTATGTCGTACATTATTTAAAGAATAATATCATCCTGCCATTTTTTCACTTTATATTCATAATTGCGTAGTTTATATTAAATATCAAACGGCGAGATATAGACAATGGACAAGTTTACCATTTTTTCGTTATTAGCTCAGATGAGATTTTAAGGAAAATAAAAAATATAATGAAAAAATTATTAATTTATCTCTAAAAACAAAAAAGTACAGCCTCTCAAAGTTGCGCCCCGCGAGAATATTTTTATTCCGTCTGAACGTGACGCGTGACGTCACACTTCACTATCCAGTTGCGACGGCCGCGGCTGACTCCTGGGCCCGGGCCGACTCAATTTCCTAAGCACTCGCATAGGTACACATACAGTGTGAAGTGGATCCGAGCTTACACAATATTACTCAGGGTTTTTCGTGGGTTTCAGCAATAACGACGGCGATATGGCTAACAAACTTTAATGGCAGTAAGGCACAAAATAATTCACTAACTTAAAAAAAACATGGAACCCGGTAATCCTTAAATCCGGAAAATGGTCACGTCACCTGTTGCCTCTCTCGGCGGCGAAGGGCAACTGCCCCCTCGCTCGATCTACCACAATTTCGTCCACTGTTGCCGAGTTGCCGCGCACCTCACTGAACCACTACACAACCCCCCACTTAAATCGAGGTAACATAGATTTAAGTCTCCACACAGAGCAGAGGGTGCAAGGCAATACCGGGAACATTACTCCAGTACAACATCGCTAGGCTGCTTATAAGCTTTGAGATTGATTACATTTTCCTTAGAACGAATCTTACCATCAAGATGTCCAATGACATAGGAGTTGGGTCCCGCTTGTTGTAACACAGTATACGGTCCATCATACAGTAAAAAGAATTTAGAAATTAGTTTAGCTTGTCGGCGTTTTTTAGAATTTCTAATTGTTTATCCCAAAACACCTGATTTCCGGCCATCATTACTAGTTTATTGAGCAATATGCAGGGTTAGTTCAAAGGGCATTTTAAGGCAAAATACACTAGTTTACCTTGCCGATATGAATCGCAAACCATTCCGGAAGATAAATGTTTTTTTATGCAAAAAATGTGTTACGTTTTTTCTTCTAAACAAATTCAAACATTTCGTATTTGTGAGTAATTCGCAACAAAAGATGTTAGATACATCCGTTTTGTTTTAAACTATGTATAGTAACGTATGTTTTTCGAATATCGTAGCGCATTTGTTCAATTACTCACAAATACGAAACGTAACCTTCGTTTTTCGCATAAAAATAACATTTATCTTTCGGAATGGTTTTTGATTCATATTTTGCTATTAAATGCTCTTTGAACGAACCCTGTATATTGATTAATAAACTAGTAGTGATGGCCGGAAACAGGTGTTTTGGTATAAATTCTCAAAACACTACCTGCCTAATATACTCCAATTTTGTTGTTGTTATTTAGAAGTATGAATTCTACGGATTAGAAGAATTTCAAGTAGTTGCTGCGTGAAATTATCGTCGCATTACAAACAGTGCCAAAACCTGCATTTTGCCTCGTTTTTCGACCATATCATTTTTGCTATTAGTCGGATCTTTTTTACGTGTGGTCTTATTTTGTAGGTCTTATAAATATAACTAAAAATCTTATATGAAAAGTTTGTTTGTTCCTGTCAACACTGTCGATTGAATCCCAAAAAACACGTTTTCTCATTCTTTGTTGTCAAATAAAAAGTTTCCACAAAAATTGGTGTACCCATTTTATACGTCTATGTTTTAAATACCCCCTTGAACAACTTGCACCAATAAACACCAGACTTTGCAATTATTTCGGGAGGAAATTTGCCTATATGATTATACTAGATGGTATTTACATAGTAACTTCTGAAGTTAGTTTCACCAGTCTATGTTCAGGTGTGCGAATCCGGGCCTATGAAACAATATCATATTGTAATAATAATGTATATGATTTCACGTACATTTTTATGGAAATAAAAAATATGCATAGGGAAGTTGTTTTTTGAAGTTGTCAGCTGAGCCAGTGGTGGAGTGAAGATGTGACCACAATAACAGACTGTCAGAAACTTTTTATTACCAAAAACCATTTAAACAGATGTATCAACAAAAACACATTTTATACAACCCACCAATTTCATTTTTATCTTTGAAGAGCTGAGCACTAGGTATAGTTACATAAAAGTGCATGACCCACTTAAAAAATATGTTAAACAATCGTACTTTATTATATACCATTTAACCTAAATCCTCTTTTGGAATCTATCACAACTTATGGTCTACTTGTTAATTTACATGAAAGATTCATTAAAATCATGATAGTTACCAAGTAATTATAGCATAATATGTGGAGGCACTTCGGTGTAATATATTGCATCATCAAATTATTCTACAAAACAGTTTTAAAAGCATTTATACATCGTGTTTCCAAAACATGAGACAAAAACTATTCATACAATTTGTTTCTCTTTCGAGATAGTGCTTTGTTTCAAAGATACACAAAAGGGCGTTAATGAAAATCTTTTTTTTCAAATACTTTTGAACAATAAAGTATAATGGTCTAACATGAAAACCCATGAAAACGATTGCCTCATTTAGCCCGCCTGGGACGGGCTAGCCCTAACCTAGTATTTTGGTGCCGTGTTTCGCAAGCCTGTATCTCCAAAACGAACAATAACACCTTGAAATGTTGTCCCTGTTTTATAAACATTCTGTATATGTGTAGATTTCGAGTACAGACTTCTGTTAGCTACTGCTTCAGTTATTAATGTGTTAAGAATGATGTGTTTGATACAATGAATACAAATCTTCTGAGTATGCCCTTGTTTTTATATATGGAGGATTTATCTCGCAGGACTTTAACAAAAAAAGTTTTAGACACACTGGTCACTATGCTATTAAATTGAACATATCTCATTTTGCTATTCAACCGTATAGATTGTTGCCAATAGCTCATACAACTTTTCACTCCATTTCCTGTTGTCAAAAAACGGAACTACACTTGAGACGTGGAGCCGAAAACTATACTCAAATATTTCTTACTAGAGACTAAATCTGTAGTTTTTCCTGTCTGTACTTATCGAGCAAGAATTCACATATGTTAAAAACTCTCAATGGACTAATATTTAAATCGATAATGGCTCTGAAGGCCGAATTTGTAAGTTTTACAATTTCCGAGTACATGCATATAGGATTATAATAACGGTTTTACTTCGTAGATACTAACAGGCAAGAGGATATATAACTATATAGTGTAATAAGAAAATGAGCCTGGTTCTGGTCAGTTTGCAGAGACAGCGAACCAATGGTCATTTCAGATACTATAGCTACATCATTATAATCGGAATTTATACAAAACCTGCAGAAAATCCAATGAGGTTTTACTTAATTTTTTTTCACATACAATCATGTATGGAAATCGGTTCATAATGGCCATAAAAGCCAATAATTTAGTTATCTCCTGTGGATCGGCAATTTTTGATATTCAAGAGGAAAAATTCAAGTTGATTTATGCGATAATTTTCACAAATTACTATTTTGTTTAAACTAGACATCTTTCTTTGTAACATCGACGCACTGTATAACTCTGAGTCTACGATGTTCTTTGAGTTCGCTGTGAAATATACAAAAATTAATATTTAGCACCGTTAAGTCTCGTCCCAAAAGAATTTTATTGTTAAGTTATAAATAGATTTTGTTACGCTTGCTTACAGAAAAATTCTTTTATCCAAACGCCAGTATTTTTGGAAACTAAACAAATTGTTCTAGCTCAATCCTGACCCAGTTAGTAATTACGATCATACCATCAATTCATCCTAAGTAATGTGTTATGGTACGAAATTAGCGTCCTCACATACAAGAAAAGTTTTTTGAATAAAATTTGATTGCAATGATCTAAATTGCTAGTCAGAGGCTGAACGCCTTGTTCTCAAGAAAAACAGCTCATAGAATATATCTTCCTTTCCCGCAATGTATAAAGAAAACGTTGCAGCTTCATTGCTATATAGGCGACGCTGTTGCAAAAAAGATATCCAAGATTACCATTACAAAATTCAGAAAACTATTGCACGAATCAATCTGAACTATTTAACCAATCTTAAGCAGCGAAAGTGCTACCTCTTCAGGAGAAGAACTAAACTTGTTCTTCAGCAGATTTCTCAGCAATGTGTCAATCTGTTAATTAGTTTTTGAACACATTACAAGATTGCCTTAATTTTCCAAGAAAACCCAGTTCTACGTGTGATCGAAAATATGGAAACATGCAAATTTGGAACGTTAATTGTTAAAAACACAAAAATATGCAGTATACCTAAACTATCTGAAACGACCATTGGTTTGCTGTCTCTGCAGCTGTTCCTGGCAAAGGTATTACCCTTCTCTGATAGGTTTTGCATTCCTTCACAAAATATTCCAGCAAATGTAAAAAAATAAAAATCTATTCCCGATTATATGTCAACCATTTTTTTATTTTGTATTGTTGGGTACAAACTAATTTTTTGAGAATATATTTGGGGCAATATCATTTTAGGGCAATCTTATATCCCCTGTGAGATGTAGGATAATACAATTAGAACCATATCCTATACTTACAGTATTATCCTTTGAAAATTATTTTTGGAGCATTCACGATTATTCAAATGCAAACTATTCAAATGATTTTGATTTTCTTAGAGAGAGCTATGAACAATGAAAACTGTGAAAATAAAGCTGTTACAGAAAAAAAAACTATATTATATTTACCAACCGACAAAGTAAAATATTTAATATGCAAGTCAATAATGTTTGAATATGTCCACTGCATGAAAACATAATTTTATTTGTTTGTTTCATTTCCATTATAAAACAAAATTTAAAGTACATATGACATACTTGGATATTGTTAAGCTGTAATACATATATGTTGTCAGAACTTTCGTACACAAGAAGGCTAAAATACTGCCCTACTAATCATAAGCCATCCTTAGAATTATCCATATGGCTGCTGGAATCTTTTCAATTTCTCATAAAGTGACCCAAGGATGTTACTACTATTAGACATGACATTATACTTTAATGTTATTTACACACTTCACTTAAGGTAATTTCACCAATTTTGAAGAAAAAAAAACAGAAAGAGCGAAAGAAGCAATAATGCATTTCAGATAAACTGCAGCTTTTTGATATGTGAATGATGAAAAATACTAATTGGGCTCTAGGAAGGACATAGAAAGAAATATCCAAAATGAAGTTCTATACTCAAAGTTCTATGGCACTACTCTATCAGTTTTTTAAACATAAAAAGCCCAATTAATATATTTTTTGAAAACAAAGCAATGAATCGACTGCATCACATGTTCTAGGCATCAGATGTTATGAAATACAACAATCAATCCCTAGAATCCCTAATAGTGGAACTGTCCTTTTGTAATAGGTATCAAAACTGTTCAGAAACAATTATTGTCTTAAAGTGTTCAGAACACGTGTTAGATACCATGAAGTAACAATCGCAGTTTTAATGAAATAAAGAATGAAATGAACCCAACGAAGTATTTACGTACGTCACAAAACAATACAATGAACAAAAATATAAAATAAAGTATATAACAAAAATAAGCTATATTAACACTATACTTCATTCTACGTGTATTTCATTATCATACATAATTCGTGTGCATTTTTTGTGTCTAACCTTCAAGTACCAGTATTTGAATAAAGCTATTGCGAATGTCATACAATCAGTATATACTGTGTTCGTTCCATCAGTATTTACTGATCTCTCCATCAACAACAGTGGATTTCTACATTACCTTACACATCAATAATTACTGATGCCCTATCTACGCGGCCAATAAAGATCACATTCCATAATAAATTCTGACAGATCACAGTAAATACTGATCGTGACATTCACCTTAAGTTATTTGGTTGGAACCTAAAAATGGCTTGCCACTCAAATTTGTATATCTTGCTAGAATAGATACTCAGTCACTTCTTATTTATCATTCTGACTGCAACTAGCTAAGATTAGGTATACTATTTCCATTCCTAATTGAAATGAAATAATAAACAGCGTCACACTCGTTTCTGTACTGTCCTAAGAAGGGGGTTAGTCCAGACATTCTTTCCCTGTCCTTCCAGTAGTTGCCCGTCCAATCTGGCAACGTTGTCCCTTCCCATATCGTCAGACGAGGCAGCGTCCACCGAAGCACCGCCCCGGTACAGCGGAAGTTGTGATAATCGAAGGAGGCTCATATCAAAATATTCCTCGATCAAGTTTTAACCACAATAAATGGGGAAACCTATTATGTGTGAAATATGGCTAATAGGTGCGATGAATTACCGGGGACTGGGAGCGTATAGATGTACTAACATCAAAAAATTGAGAAAGGTTTTCTCCCACACTCCTCGCCCACCCTTTGATTTTTGACCATTTATAATGTTTTAAAAAAAGATTAGGATCCTCTGAAACGTCAAAAATCGAGGATGGGCCGTTATTTATTTTTTTCGTTTTTGGTCTTTCTCCGACGCCACTGATTACATTAAATTACATCCAAATCCGAGCAGTACTTTGCAAGTTACAGACGGGTCAAGGATTAGCGGACAGACAGACCAGTGAAATGAGTGACATTGTTTTTCGTGATGTGTATGTCATATAACATCCAAATCATAATATCTCGTTTTCGAAATTTTTCGCGATTACAATTCTTCCTCGACCAGTGGCGTAGTGTGAAGTGAAATGTGCAAAAGCGGTAAGATAAAATGCTTATTTTCAATGCAAAATTTCATAACCAGTATTTTGACTGATGAATGGTATGTTTAGCGTTAATAACTTAATTTACTGTTAATAACGTGATTTATTGGTACACGGTCCTGATGCAATTGGTTCATTTTAGTCTCTTGTATAAATCATACGAGGTACGATTCCAGCGGTTTTTTATTGCTCTAACATACCAGCTATTTACGAGTTCTAAATTTAGTACTGTCACAGAACGGTTCTGGAACTGTCCGTGAACTATCAGAATTTTTCCAAAACCCGAACAGCCTGAATCCAGGACTACGGCAACAAAGAAGATAACTGTGCGAAGAGAACAATAATTGTCAGTAACTATAACCACAATAAGTTAGGAGTAACTGCTTCAAGTTCATCATCACTGTCAGACGACCATGACGAATCAGGATCAAAAATGATCTGAATTGAATCCATTTGTCCACTTTTCTTTTAATTTTATATAAAAAACACTCATCGAACCGCAAAAAGTAAACAGCATTTAAAGCAGAATACGTCAAATAATATATACGCATGAGTGAAAAATCTGTTCAATAATGACCCCGACAGTAAAGCAAGAACTGCTGGAACCATTCTCGAGCCATCCTAGAACTGAACCAGGATATAAATCGAACACAAAATTTCAGTTCTAAAACGGTCCGATAGTAATCCAACAGAAACCCGAACACGTCGGTTTTTTCTGCGCAGGCTCCTGATAGTTCTAGAACAGTAATGATAAAAACCCGAAGAAACCTTACCATCTATTTATACAATATTATTTTTCTTAAGGCACTGGTTTTTTATCTATTTCAATTAGGATTAGAAATACTACAACTCTCTAAAGGTATAAGTGTTTAACCATTTCCGCATGACTTTTGAACCACCTAGATATTTTAATAGAAAAAACTTCCAAGAAAACTTACCTAGAATGTAAATACATTGGAAGAAATGTGCTTTAAATCGCAATCCTATTGACTTTTTTAATCAAAATGTTCATTAAAATTTATAAAGCGCTACAGCCGTGTATGTTTTTTTGTTTTATGCTAGTTTTATTGTTACTGTGATTTATTTGATACTAGGAGATTGGACACACATTATGTGAACGCAATAAGTCTAGAATTTAATTTCATAAATGTCCGTTTTGATTATCATGTAAAATGTAATAATTATTACCTGTTGGACATAGTAAAATTGGGTAGAAAAATGCATTTGAAAGGGTCATGTTGAGTTTTAAAAATCAATAAAAGTCATATATTGGCACAATTTCAATCCAGCTACAATCCTTGAATATGTTTGAAAACATTGCACAGCTCAAAAAAGCATTTTTTGTATATGTTACCAATTTCATATTTTTGACATAGGATTTATCAGCTATCAATTCTGTTGACAGGGCGCCGAGATTTTGGGGGCAGAGCATATGTGATCCTTTGCCCAAATGCTTTAAGTTGCTTTAGTAAGTAGCTCTCAAAAAATATCTTCTTTGAGAGTGACCCCCCAATATATGCGTTTGTGCTCCTGCTGCATGGCCCGATCTGACCGCTTGCGTTACACTGAGGAAAAAAGAGGTAATGTCCACAATCAGTACAAATCACAGAATGAAAGTCACATAACGAGGTTACAAATACTTGCATATTTATCGTGATGTAGCAATATATTACCTAATACCATTAAACCCTATGTCAAAATATCAAGCTGTCATGTTCGACAACAAGTACGTTTAAAAAGATTTTTTTAATAAGAAATAAATAATAAAAACCCTTGCTCTATTGTGTTACCAACATTGCCAAGATATCACATAAAAATAGTATAACATTTAATAACAATACAATAATAAAGTAAAGAAATGATACAATTATATATATACAATCTGAATAATGACATCTTAATGATAAAAGAGAGTCGGCAAGAGATAACAATCCCAACTTAGACGTCTACAATTGTTGCAATTTAGAGACATCAGATGTATGCTTGTACATAATATAAATATAACTGTAGCAAATGGGGGCCTATGAGCGTAATGCGATGGACGATTTGGGGCGGCTCGATGGTATATCACCCGTTCTTCTTACCACCACCGTTTACTGCCACCTTTAAAACAGAAAATACCAGTTTTGTAATCAGAATAACTTGTCAATATAATAGGATTCCATCATCAAAATCAATTTTGATTTTCGATTTTGCACTGTAATGACAACAGCCATTTGTGTTTAACAGAACCATTGATTTAAATATTAAACCAGAAGATACCCAACTAACAAAAAAAACATATGTATCTTTTTAGCAAAAATAAGCGATATTTATGTCGTACATTATTTAAAGAATAATATCATCCTGCCATTTTTTCACTTTATATTCATAATTGCGTAGTTTATATTAAATATCAAACGGCGAGATATAGACAATGGACAAGTTTACCATTTTTTCGTTATTAGCTCAGATGAGATTTTAAGGAAAATAAAAAAATATAATGAAAAAATTATTAATTTATCTCTAAAAACAAAAAAGTACAGCCTCTCAAAGTTGCGCCCCGCGAGAATATTTTTATTCCGTCTGAACGTGACGCGTGACGTCACACTTCACTATCCAGTTGCGACGGCCGCGGCTGACTCCTGGGCCCGGGCCGACTCAATTTCCTAAGCACTCGCATAGGTACACATACAGTGTGAAGTGGATCCGAGCTTACACAATATTACTCAGGGTTTTTCGTGGGTTTCAGCAATAACGACGGCGATATGGCTAACAAACTTTAATGGCAGTAAGGCACAAAATAATTCACTAACTTAAAAAAAACATGGAACCCGGTAATCCTTAAATCCGGAAAATGGTCACGTCACCTGTTGCCTCTCTCGGCGGCGAAGGGCAACTGCCCCCTCGCTCGATCTACCACAATTTCGTCCACTGTTGCCGAGTTGCCGCGCACCTCACTGAACCACTACACAACCCCCCACTTAAATCGAGGTAACATAGATTTAAGTCTCCACACAGAGCAGAGGGTGCAAGGCAATACCGGGAACATTACTCCAGTACAACATCGCTAGGCTGCTTATAAGCTTTGAGATTGATTACATTTTCCTTAGAACGAATCTTACCATCAAGATGTCCAATGACATAGGAGTTGGGTCCCGCTTGTTGTAACACAGTATACGGTCCATCATACAGTAAAAAGAATTTAGAAATTAGTAGTAGTATAGTAGTTTTTTAGAATTTCTAATTGTTTATCCCAAAACACCTGATTTCCGGCCATCATTACTAGTTTATTGAGCAATATGCAGGGTTAGTTCAAAGGGCATTTTAAGGCAAAATACACTAGTTTACCTTGCCGATATGAATCGCAAACCATTCCGGAAGATAAATGTTATTTTTATGCAAAAAATGTGTTACGTTTTTTCTTCTAAACAAATTCAAACATTTCGTATTTGTGAGTAATTCGCAACAAAAGATGTTAGATACATCCGTTTTGTTTTAAACTATGTATAGTAACGTATGTTTTTCGAATATCGTAGCGCATTTGTTCAATTACTCACAAATACGAAACGTAACCTTCGTTTTTCGCATAAAAATAACATTTATCTTTCGGAATGGTTTTTGATTCATATTTTGCTATTAAATGCTCTTTGAACGAACCCTGTATATTGATTAATAAACTAGTAGTGATGGCCGGAAACAGGTGTTTTGGTATAAATTCTCAAAACACTACCTGCCTAATATACTCCAATTTTGTTGTTGTTATTTAGAAGTATGAATTCTACGGATTAGAAGAATTTCAAGTAGTTGCGTGAAATTATCGTCGCATTACAAACAAGTGCCAAAACCTGCATTTTGCCTCGTTTTTCGACCATATCATTTTTGCTATTAGTCGGATCTTTTTTACGTGTGGTCTTATTTTGTAGGTCTTATAAATATAACTAAAAATCTTATATGAAAAGTTTGTTTGTTCCTGTCAACACTTTCGATTGAATCCCAAAAAACACGTTTTCTCATTCTTTGTTGTCAAATAAAAAGTTTTCCCACAAAAATTGGTGTACCCATTTTATACGTCTATGTTTTAAATACCCCCTTGAACAACTTGCACCAATAAAACCAGACTTTGCAATTATTTCGGGGAAATTTGCTAATATGATTATACTAGATGGTATTTACATAGTAAACTTCTGAAGTTAGTTTCACCAGTCTATGTTCAGGTGTGCGAATCCGGGCCTATGAAACAATATCATATTGTAATAATAATGTATATGATTTCACGTACATTTTTATGGAAATAAAAAATATGCATAGGGAAGTTGTTTTTTGAAGTTGTCAGCTGAGCCAGTGGTGGGAGTGAAGATGTGACCACAATAACAGACTGTCAGAAACTTTTTATTACCAAAACCATTTAAACAGATGTATCAACAAAAACACATTTTATACACCACCACAATTTCATTTTTATCTTTGAAGAGCTGAGCACTTAGTATATGTACATAAAAGTGATGACCCACTTAAAAAATATGTTAAAACAATCGTAACTTTATTATATACCATTTAACCTAAATCCTCTTTTGGAATCTATCACAACTTATGGTCTACTTGTTAATTTACATGAAAGATTCATTAAAATCATTGATATTTACCAAGTAATTATAGCATAATATGTGGAGGCACTTCGGTGTAAATATATTGCATCATCAAATTATTCTACAAAACAGTTTTAAAAGCATTTATACATCGTGTTTCCAAAACATGAGACAAAAACTATTCATACAATTTTTTTCTCTTTCGAGATAGTGCTTTGTTTCAAAGATACACAAAAGGGCGTTAATGAAAATCTTTTTTTTCAAATACTTTTGAACAATAAAGTATAATGGTCTAACATGAAAACCCATGAAAAACGATTGCCTCATTTAGCCCGCCTGGGACGGGCTAGCCCTAACCTAGTATTTTGGTGCCGTGTTTCGCAAGCCTGTATCTCCAAAACGAAACAATAACACCTTGAAATGTTGTCCCTGTTTTATAAACATTCTGTATATGTGTAGATTTCGAGTACAGACTTCTGTTAGCTACTGCTTCAGTTATTAATGTGTTAAGAATGATTTGTTTGATACAATGAATACAAATCTTCTGAGTATGCCCTTGTTTTTATATATGGAGGATTTATCTCGCAGGACTTTAACAAAAAAAGTTTTAGACACACTGGTCACTATGCTATTAAATTGAACATATCTCATTTTGCTATTCAACCGTATAGATTGTTGCCAATAGCTCATACAACTTTTCACTCCATTTCCTGTTGTCAAAAAACGGAACTACACTTGAGACGTGGAGCCGAAAACTATACTCAAATATTTCTTACTAGAGACTAAATCTGTAGTTTTCCTGTCTGTACTTATCGAGCAAGAATTCACATATGTTAAAAACTCTCAATGGACTAATATTTACATCGATAATGGCTCTGAAGGCCGAATTTGTAAGTTTTACAATTTCCGAGTACATGCATATATGGATTATAATAACGGTTTTACTTCGTAGATACTAACAGGCAAGAGGATATATAACTATATAGTGTAATAAGAAAATGAAGCCTGGTTCTGGTCAGTTGCAGAGACAGCGAACCAATGGTCATTTCAGATACTATAGCTACATCATTATAATCGGAATTTATACAAAACCTGCAGAAAATCCAATGAGGTTTTACTTTAAATTTTTTTTTCACATACAATCATGTATGGAAATCGGTTCATAATGGCCATAAAAGCCAATAATTTAGTTATCTCCTGTGGATCTGGCATTTTTGATATTCAAGAGAAAAATTCAAGTTGATTTATGCGATAATTTTCACAAATTACTATTTTGTTTAAACTAGACATCTTTCTTTGTAACATCGACGCACTGTATAACTCTGAGTCTACGATGTTCTTTGAGTTCGCTGTGAAATATACAAAAATTAATATTTAGCACCGTTAAGTCTCGTCCCAAAAGAATTTTATTGTTAAGTTATAAATAGATTTTGTTACGCTTGCTTACAGAAAAATTCTTTTATCCAAACGCCAGTATTTTTTGGAAACTAAACAAATTGTTCTAGCTCAATCCTGACCCAGTTAGTAATTACGATCATACCATCAATTCATCCTAAGTAATGTGTTATGGTACGAAATTAGCGTCCTCACATACAAGAAAAGTTTTTTGAATAAAATTTGATTGCAATGATCTAAATTGCTAGTCAGAGGCTGAACGCCTTGTTCTCAAGAAAAACAGCTCATAGAATATATCTTCCTTTCCCGCAATGTATAAAGAAAACGTTGCAGCTTCATTGCTATATAGGGCGACGCTGTTGCAAAAAAGATATCCAAGATTAACCATTACAAAATTCAGAAAACTATTGCACGAATCAATCTGAACTATTTAACCAATCTTAAGCAGCGAAAGTGCTACCTCTTCAGGAGAAGAACTAAACTTGTTCTTCAGCAGATTTCTCAGCAATGTGTCAATCTGTTAATTAGTTTTTGAACACATTACAAGATTGCCTTAATTTTCCAAGAAAACCCAGTTCTACGTGTGATCGAAAATATGGAAACATGCAAATTTGGAACGTTAATTGTTAAAAACACAAAAATATGCAGTATACCTAAACTATCTGAAACGACCATTGGTTTGCTGTCTCTGCAGCTGTTCTGGCAAAGGTATTACCCTTCTCTGATAGGTTTTGCATTCCTTCACAAAATATTCCAGCAAATGTAAAAAATAAAAATCTATTCCCGATTATATGTCAACCATTTTTTATTTTGTATTGTTGGGTACAAAACTAATTTTTTGAGAATATATTTGGGGCAATATCATTTTAGGGCAATCTTATATCCCCTGTGAGATGTAGGATAATACAATTAGAAACCATATCCTATACTTAACAGTATTATCCTTTGAAAATTATTTTTGGAGCATTCACGATTATTCAAATGCAAACTATTCAAATGATTTTGATTTTCTTAGAGAGAGCTATGAACAATGAAAACTGTGAAAATAAAGCTGTTACAGAAAAAAAAACTATATTATATTTACCAACCGACAAAGTAAAATATTTAATATGCAAGTCAATAATGTTTGAATATGTCCACTGCATGAAAACATAATTTTATTTTTTTGTTTCATTTCCATTTATAAAACAAAATTTAAAGTACATATGACATACTTGGATATTGTTAAGCTGTAATACATATATGTTGTCAGAACTTTCGTACACAAGAAGGCTAAAATACTGCCCTACTAATCATAAGCCATCCTTAGAATTATCCATATGGCTGCTGGAATCTTTTCAATTTCTCATAAAGTGACCCAAGGATGTTACTACTATTAGACATGACATTATACTTTAATGTTATTTACACACTTCACTTAAGGTAATTTCACCAATTTTGAAGAAAAAACAGAAAGAGCGAAAGAAGCAATAATGCATTTCAGATAAACTGCAGCTTTTTGATATGTGAATGATGAAAAATACTAATTGGGCTCTAGGAAGGACATAGAAAGAAATATCCAAAAATGAAGTTCTATACTCAAAGTTCTATGGCACTACTCTATCAGTTTTTTAAACATAAAAAGCCCAATTAATATATTTTTTTGAAAACAAAAGCAATGAATCGACTGCATCACATGTTCTAGGCATCAGATGTTATGAAATACAACAATCAATCCCTAGAATCCCTAATAGTGGAACTGTCCTTTTGTAATAGGTATCAAAACTGTTCAGAAACAATTATTGTCTTAAAGTGTTCAGAACACGTGTTAGATACCATGAAGTAACAAATCGCAGTTTAATGAAATAAAGAATGAAATGAACCCAACGAAGTATTTACGTACGTCACAAAACAATACAATGAACAAAAATATAAAAATAAAGTATATAACAAAAATAAGCTATATTAACACTATACTTCATTCTACGTGTATTTCATTATCATACATAATTCGTGTGCATTTTTTTGTGTCTAACCTTCAAGTACCAGTATTTGAATAAAGCTATTGCGAATGTCATACAATCAGTATATACTGTGGTTCGTTCCATCAGTATTTACTGATCTCTCCATCAACAACAGTGGATTTCTACATTACCTTACACATCAATAATTACTGATGCCCTATCTACGCGGCCAATAAAGATCACATTCCATAATAAATTCTGACAGATCACAGTAAATACTGATCGTGACATTCACCTTAAGTTATTTGGTTGGAACCTAAAAATGGCTTGCCACTCAAATTTGTATATCTTGCTAGAATAGATACTCAGTCACTTCTTATTTATCATTCTGACTGCAACTAGCTAAGATTAGGTATACTATTTCCATTCCTAATTGAAATGAAATAATAAACAGCGTCACACTCGTTTCTGTACTGTCCTAAGAAGGGGGTTAGTCCAGACATTCTTTCCCTGTCCTTCCAGTAGTTGCCGTCCATCTGGCAACGTTGTCCCTTCCCATATCGTCAGACGAGGCAGCGTCCACCGAAGCACCGCCCCGGTACAAGCGGAAGTTGTGATAATCGAAGGAGGCTCATATCAAAAATATTCCTCGATCAAGTTTTAACCACAAATAAATGGGGAAACCTATTATGTGTGAAATATGGCTAATAGGTGCGATGAATTACCGGGGACTGGGAGCGTATAGATGTACTAACATCAAAAAATTGAGAAAGGTTTTCTCCCACACTCCCTCGCCCACCCTTTGATTTTTGACCATTTATAATGTTTTAAAAAAAGATTAGGATCCTCTGAAACGTCAAAAAATCGAGGATGGCCGTTATTTATTTTTTTCGTTTTTGGTCTTTCTCCGACGCCACTGATTACATTAAATTACATCCAAATCCGAGCAGTACTTTGCAAGTTACAGACGGGTCAAGGATTAGCGGACAGACAGACCAGTGGAAATGAGTGACATTGTTTTTCGTGATGTGTATGTCATATAACATCCAAAATCATAATATCTCGTTTTCGAAATTTTTCGCGATTACAATTCTTCCTCGACCAGTGGCGTAGTGTGAAGTGAAATGTGCAAAAGCGGTAAGATAAAATGCTTATTTTCAATGCAAAATTTCATAACCAGTATTTTGACTGATGAATGGTATGTTTAGCGTTAATAACTTAATTTACTGTTAATAACGTGATTTATTGGTACACGGTCCTGATGCAATTGGTTCATTTTAGTCTCTTGTATAAATCATACGAGGTACGATTCCAGCGGTTTTTTATTGCTCTAACATACCAGCTATTTACGAGTTCTAAATTTAGTACTGTCACAGAACGGTTCTGGAACTGTCCGTGAACTATCAGAATTTTTCCAAAACCCGAACAGCCTGAATCCAGGACTACGGCAACAAAGAAGATAACTGTGCGAAGAGAACAATAATTGTCAGTAACTATAACCACAATAAGTTAGGAGTAACTGCTTCAAGTTCATCATCACTGTCAGACGACCATGACGAATCAGGATCAAAAATGATCTGAATTGAATCCATTTGTCCACTTTTCTTTTAATTTTATATAAAAAACACTCATCGAACCGCAAAAAGTAAACAGCATTTAAAGCAGAATACGTCAAATAATATATACGCATGAGTGAAAAATCTGTTCAATAATGACCCCGACAGTAAAGCAAGAACTGCTGGAACCATTCTCGAGCCATCCTAGAACTGAACCAGGATATAAATCGAACACAAAATTTCAGTTCTAAAACGGTCCGATAGTAATCCAACAGAAACCCGAACACGTCGGTTTTTTCTGCGCAGGCTCCTGATAGTTCTAGAACAGTAATGATAAAAACCCGAAGAAACCTTACCATCTATTTATACAATATTATTTTTCTTAAGGCACTGGTTTTTTATCTATTTCAATTAGGATTAGAAATACTACAACTCTCTAAAGGTATAAGTGTTTAACCATTTCCGCATGACTTTTGAACCACCTAGATATTTTAATAGAAAAAACTTCCAAGAAAACTTACCTAGAATGTAAATACATTGGAAGAAATGTGCTTTAAATCGCAATCCTATTGACTTTTTTAATCAAAATGTTCATTAAAATTTATAAAGCGCTACAGCCGTGTATGTTTTTTTGTTTTATGCTAGTTTTATTGTTACTGTGATTTATTTGATACTAGGAGATTGGACACACATTATGTGAACGCAATAAGTCTAGAATTTAATTTCATAAATGTCCGTTTTGATTATCATGTAAAATGTAATAATTATTACCTGTTGGACATAGTAAAATTGGGTAGAAAAATGCATTTGAAAGGGTCATGTTGAGTTTTAAAAATCAATAAAAGTCATATATTGGCACAATTTCAATCCAGCTACAATCCTTGAATATGTTTGAAAACATTGCACAGCTCAAAAAAGCATTTTTTGTATATGTTACCAATTTCATATTTTTGACATAGGATTTATCAGCTATCAATTCTGTTGACAGGGCGCCGAGATTTTGGGGGCAGAGCATATGTGATCCTTTGCCCAAATGCTTTAAGTTGCTTTAGTAAGTAGCTCTCAAAAAATATCTTCTTTGAGAGTGACCCCCCAATATATGCGTTTGTGCTCCTGCTGCATGGCCCGATCTGACCGCTTGCGTTACACTGAGGAAAAAAGAGGTAATGTCCACAATCAGTACAAATCACAGAATGAAAGTCACATAACGAGGTTACAAATACTTGCATATTTATCGTGATGTAGCAATATATTACCTAATACCATTAAACCCTATGTCAAAATATCCAAGCTGTCATGTTCGACAACAAGTACGTTTAAAAAGATTTTTTTAATAAGAAATAAATAATAAAAACCCTTGCTCTATTGTGTTACCAACATTGCCAAGATATCACATAAAAATAGTATAACATTTAATAACAATACAATAATAAAGTAAAGAAATGATACAATTATATATACAATCTGAATAATGACATCTTAATGATAAAAGAGAGTCGGCAAGAGATAACAATCCCAACTTAGACGTCTACAATTGTTGCAATTTAGAGACATCAGATGTATGCTTGTACATAATATAAATATAACTGTAGCAAATGGGGGCCTATGAGCGTAATGCGATGGACGATTTGGGGCGGCTCGATGGTATATCACCCGTTCTTCTTACCACCACCGTTTACTGCCACCTTTAAAACAGAAAATACCAGTTTTGTAATCAGAATAACTTGTCAATATAATAGGATTCCATCATCAAAATCAATTTTGATTTTTCGATTTTGCACTGTAATGACAACAGCCATTTGTGTTTAACAGAACCATTGATTTAAATATTAAACCAGAAGATACCCAACTAACAAAAAAAACATATGTATCTTTTTAGCAAAAATAAGCGATATTTATGTCGTACATTATTTAAAGAATAATATCATCCTGCCATTTTTTCACTTTATATTCATAATTGCGTAGTTTATATTAAATATCAAACGGCGAGATATAGACAATGGACAAGTTTACCATTTTTTCGTTATTAGCTCAGATGAGATTTTAAGGAAAATAAAAAAATATAATGAAAAAATTATTAATTTATCTCTAAAAACAAAAAAGTACAGCCTCTCAAAGTTGCGCCCCGCGAGAATATTTTTATTCCGTCTGAACGTGACGCGTGACGTCACACTTCACTATCCAGTTGCGACGGCCGCGGCTGACTCCTGGGCCCGGGCCGACTCAATTTCCTAAGCACTCGCATAGGTACACATACAGTGTGAAGTGGATCCGAGCTTACACAATATTACTCAGGGTTTTTCGTGGGTTTCAGCAATAACGACGGCGATATGGCTAACAAACTTTAATGGCAGTAAGGCACAAAATAATTCACTAACTTAAAAAAAACATGGAACCCGGTAATCCTTAAATCCGGAAAATGGTCACGTCACCTGTTGCCTCTCTCGGCGGCGAAGGGCAACTGCCCCCTCGCTCGATCTACCACAATTTCGTCCACTGTTGCCGAGTTGCCGCGCACCTCACTGAACCACTACACAACCCCCCACTTAAATCGAGGTAACATAGATTTAAGTCTCCACACAGAGCAGAGGGTGCAAGGCAATACCGGGAACATTACTCCAGTACAACATCGCTAGGCTGCTTATAAGCTTTGAGATTGATTACATTTTCCTTAGAACGAATCTTACCATCAAGATGTCCAATGACATAGGAGTTGGGTCCCGCTTGTTGTAACACAGTATACGGTCCATCATACAGTAAAAAGAATTTAGAAATTAGTTTAGCTTTTCGGCGGACGAATGAGGATGCGTTTTAACTAGAACCTTATCGCCCGGGTCAAAAGTAACAGGTTTCATCACTTTAGCCCTCTTTACCCTTTTTGCAGCCTCCCTTTTCAGTTTTTCATACGCCACACCTGTATCCTCCTTCAATGTCGTACAGTTTACATCGAAGCGCTCAGGAAAAACCACAAAATTCCGTACGGGATTCGTGTCGATCTGTCCAAACTGTAAGTATATGGGTGCAAAACCGGTGCTTAGGTTAACTGCTCGATTGAGACACCTTTCGATATCCGCTAGTTTGTTTGACCATGCGGAATGCCGTTCGTAGCAATAGGTTCTCAACATACGTCCGACCTCACGATTATAACGTTCCGTTGGATTACCCTGGGGAAAATAACAAGAGATAAACTTAAGTTGTATACCCGCCGCCTCTAACTGCTTTCTCCAAATATGACTCGTGAACTGAGTTCCATTATCGGACAAAATGGACACAGGTTTCTGTACTGACGGAATGTAGTCATCGAATAAGCGTTTGAGCAACGTTTTCGCAGTAGCCCGACGCAAGGCGTATAACTTGACGAATTTAGTGAAAGCATCGACAAGAACGAAGAGTTGCGTCACACCCCCACGTCCTACAGGTAACGGCCCTATCAGATCTATACAAACCAATTTTCCAGGTTCGTCTACCAAAATGGGATGCAATTCCGCATTGGATATTGGCGAAGGTTTGGCCTCCTGGCACAAGTCGCATGACGCGACCACCTGCCTAACGTGCCGTTGCATGCGAGGCCAATAAAAACTATGTCTCATATAAGCATATGTTTTTACCTTACCAAAATGCCCCATAGACTGGTGATGCGCTAAGATAAGCTCTTTGACCTGAGCCTTAGGTACGCAGAGCTTATAGCCCTTATTGCGGCTATCGCCCCTCTTAAATAAAAGTCCTTCGTGCAGCACGTACCATTCGTAAATTTTAAATTCGCGTCCTGAGAATACCCTAACATAGCGAGTGATAAGTTCTAAGAACCTGATCTTTTCCCTAATCCATTCATCATCCAACTGATCGCGCCTCAAAGTTTTAAAATGTTTCTTAAGCTCCGCAAAATCGCCACTCAGCCTCATTAACGAAATTTGCGCATTTCCGTTAGAACCTGGAACACTGCACGTCTTATCCTTTAAAGGATGCCGCGACAAAGCATCCGCCTCTACGTTGTCAGGTCCGTTGCAATATCGTATCTCGAAATCAAATTCTTGGATAAATATTATCCAGCGCGACAAGTGCATCTGAAGCTGAACTTGAGCTTCGTATATGATTCTGAACATCATGAAACTTCTCGATTTGCGTCCAAACCTTAATTTGAAACTCCCGGTGCACCCGGCTTGCTCTCATATCAAAGCTACCAATTACTAAATCTTAGAATTGAGTACCAAGAAGGTTGAGGTTTGCTTGTAAGAGGGATCCCACATTTAAGAATAAACAATTTTCTTCAAAAGGAAAATGGAGTAGGTTTCCTTTACTTTCAAGGATTTATTTCGAATTTACTTAGCAACGTGGCTGTGATAATGGAAATTGTATATAATCGTCCAAATACAGAATAGCGTTGGCATCTTCCAGTAGAACACGGTAATTAATAGAACTAGCACAATTTTAGTATGCTAAAGCAATGCTGTTTATTGTGGGAAGTCGAACAACTGGAAAATTGTTGGTTCATCGTTTCTGACATTCATATATATGATCTTTGAAATCACAAATGTCAGAGACTAGACTAGAGACGAAGGGTACAGGGGAAAAGGATGAATCTCACAAAAGGTAAGTTTTGAGAAAAGTGAATTTAAAAGTTGACTCCTAGACTAGTTGTACAGGATGGCTCAAAGATCTGACAGAGCATCATAGATTCCTTATAAGATATTGAAAAAAGTTGAATTATAAATAAAAAATATATACAGGGTAGCCCAAAGTGAAACCAGACCAAACATTTTTTATTTTTATATTTTCAGATTCTTCTTATGGTTTTAAACATTTTTTGTGTTTGAGACCATGACTGAATTCAACTTTTTTTGAGGTATTTAAGCTAGAAATAAGCCTTTCGTCATATACGACAGCCTGTAAAATTTAAGGGCTGATTAACCAGCAAATTGCCTATCTTAGTTTTTACGATCTGATCTAGTATCAGAATAGAACATAAGAAATTTTCTAACCTCAATAGCTCAACACGGAATTAAGTATTTTTTTAATTGGGACAGAAAAAAACAATGAACCAAAAAAATCTTTTTTCAAAAGAATATAGAACAAACAAAACAAAATGGTAACTGCTTAAAAATGATAACGTTTATTCCTTTCGTCGCAGATTGGTGTTTGGTAAATTGTTTCGCTGACGATCAGTATACGTTCATCTTTTTTCCGTACAACGGCTATGACATTCATCCTTTTTTCCCTGCACGGCAAGTTTTCAAATGGGTATAACTACGAACTGTCATTGTTTTTGCGTGTTTACGATACCTCATGGGATTGTACTGCGTTAAGACTACATGTTGCCGGTTTTAACTACAAAACACCAAATTTGTGACATTAATCTTTTCTCCACTGTACCCTTTAGATACTAATAAAACAAAACTAAAGAATAAATTTACATACAGTGCATTTCAAAAAAGGTCCGCCTAACAATTTTTTAACAGGTCAAGATAGCAATCTAAAATTTGGGGTGATGAAATTTATAAATGAATACTATTGTAACCTCCTGTATAGTGTGGTAGGTAACTGACAGCTAGCTTGTCAGTTTTGGTATTTTGGAGTTCTGTGTCATGTGTTGCTAAATTGTAGGCTCCACATGTTGTAACTGCCTAAGGAAAGACACTCATATGAAGTCATTACTGTCGCTAAGGACCGCGTGCTTCTCGGAGTGTTCTCGGAAATTGAGTGCGCGTAGAGAAACTGCACGTTTTTATTTTATAGATGCACCTGCAAATATTGGGTGGGCCATTTAAAAGTTTCGATTTAAAAATAAAATAAAACAAAAACGGTTTGAGATATTGCCAAATTTATTTTTTTGTTTTGAAGTACAATTGTTCCGCTCAGAAATGAAATATTACTTCATTCAAATGGCTGCCGCGGCTGGCCTCACAGTAGCCCATTCGATCGGACCAATTTTCGAGCACTTTTTCGAGTGTTTGGGGCCGTATCTCGTCAATGGCATCACGAATGTTGGCCTTCAAATGGTCAATTGTCTCTGGATGGTCGACTTAACACTTGTCTTTAACAGCGCCCCACAGGAAATAGTCCAATGGTGTCAAATCGCAGCTTCTTGGCGGCCAATTGACATCACCATTTCGACTGATTAAACGGCCATCGAAGGTTTCGCGCAATAAGTTGATTGTGGCATGCGATGTGTGACAAGTTGCACCATCCTGCTGAAACCAAACATTCTCCACATCAATACCATCAAGAGCAGGAACAAAAAAATCAGTTATCATGGTGCGATAGGTGTTTCCATTGACAGAAACGGTTGCGCCGTCCCCGTCTTCAAAGAAATATGGGCCAATGATGCCTCCGCTCCACAATCCACACCAAACAGTCACTCGCAAGGGATGCATTGGCTTCTCTAAGACCTCGTGTGGGTTTTCCGAGCCCCAGATACGGCAATTTTGCTTATTGACGTAGCCACCAATATGAAAATGAGCTTCGTCTGAAAAGATTATTTTTTTCGCAAAATCGACATCATTGATTAGTTGCTCGTTGGCCCATGTAGCGAAGGCAGAACGAAGTGGATGGTCACGCGGCTTCAACTCTTGAACCAATTGAACTTTGTAAGGCGTCATACCGAGATCTTTCCGCAAAATTCGTCGTAAACTGGTGCGGGAAATGTTCAATTCTTGGGAACGATGACGTGTTGACGTTGATGGATTTTCACGCACACTCGCAGCCACAGCATCGATACCTTCGGGTGTACGCACTGTACGAGCACGCTGACGTGTTGGAGCATCAACAATGAAACCAGTTTCACGCACTTTATTAATAAACTTGCGTATACCGGGCGCTGTTGGTGCTTCGTTGCGACCGAATTTTGAACGGCATTTTCGTGCAATTTCTGCCCAATTGTCTTTGTTTTGGAAATAAATTTCCAATATTACCCAACGTTGCTCAAGCGTAAATCGATTCATTTCGTTCAGCGGAGATAATATACTGAATTTTATGACAAATCAGATTGACATAAGTATTGTCAGCGTCAAATTAACACGTGGTTCAAATCGAAACCGATAGATGGCCCACCCGTTATATAAGAAATGTCAATATAACCTGCCGCTACCTTTATGTTGATCAAGAATGTGATCTATAGACTACTGCAAACTGATTCCCAAGGTTCATCCTTTCGCTCACATTTTGCCATGCTTTGTTGGTTTATTAGCGTTATCCGAAATTTGGGCGTGCAACTCGTCTGAACTGTCAAAATTGGTGTTGTTTACGTTCATGATAACAGCAACAGAAAGATCTAGATATGAGAGAGATACCACCTGCGTAGAACCTGAAATTAATTTCCTGCGTAGTGTACTTACAAGACAGACCCGCCTCCATCGTCGACACTTTTAGCTTCCGCCATACTCTATGAGTTTAACCTCCTATCTCTAGTCTCCACGATAGGCGACTTATCACTGCGATCTGTCAAAGTGACATTACTACGTTTACACGTGAAGTGAAAACGATTTGATGTCTTATGGCTGTTTTGAGGTGTGTGTGTGTGTATACTTACTGTCAATATCAGTGATCGCTCGACATGTTCTAATACACATTCGTCATTTGTGCATTAGTGGTTGTAGATATTTCACGAACTGTGATTTTGGATCCACGCGATTCAATTGCAGTATTTTGCTTGCATTGTTATTCGGAAGTTGTGATCACATCAGGCTTTAAATCCCTGTTACGGAAGCTTCAGGTAAGCGGAAGTTAATTTCGAACCATGGATGTTGAGTTGTCTATATTACGCACCACACTGGGTTCAAGATCAACATAGGTACTCCGCATCGCTGGAGCTCGTAGATTCAATAATCGGTTACCAGTACAGGGTCAAAGCTGGCATAGTTGCCGGCTTCGTCTCCCCACCACCACCACCACTACTACTACTAAATCACTTATATCAAAAAGTAACGATATAAGATCTCACGAGTATTGAAAAATAATGATATCGGCCATCTCAGGTGGCTCATCTCTAACTTACATGGCGCACTAGTAGAATGGCGATTGTATTGATCAAATTTAACACACCCATTACCTCATCATACTAATGACTAATTTCAGAATGTCCAGTTTTACCTGTGTAGCATTGCGAAGAGTCCTTTCAGCTACTCCTGCAGCCACTTGCTGCATACCGTTTTCTACGTATCCTTGGATTAGTGTCTGCATAAACTAAACAAGAGATACAAAACAGTTATTACAACGAAACATCATATCAACGAATGAATCTCGCAATTCGCTACAACCAGTCTTATTCAACTAACTTTATAAAACCGCATTAATAGTCAGGCCAAAGAACAGTTATACCAAGACGCTTCGAGGAGTGTGTTTATAATCCGCCGATTGGCTTCAATGGCTTTGGGTTTCCCCTGAATAACTGGTTTACAACAAAAACACGGCAATCTATGAGCGCCAAACCAAGGACGCATCGCTCAAAGATGCCAATTAACGGCCGTTGGTTTGGCGATTAGACGGCTCGGGATCTACCGAGGCCGTGCTGCTAAACAGACACAATTTCTAGAACATGCTACATTTATACCGAGCTGAATCGAGTACAGTTATTTTCACGGTTTTAGTGGTCACGTCACTATTGACATACGAAATAAGTAAACACGTCTTAATTGTACTACTCGCGAAGCTGAACTTCCCTATGGGAATTGCACTCTACGCAAGCTGATCCTTAATGCGGCTGCTTTATCTTGCACACACACATATGAATGGTGTAATCAAGGACTGCGGTTTTTAGTCACTCGTTGAAAATAATAACTGTCGACATGAATGTGGAAGAGATTCACACGCTGGCGAGAAAATCTTTAAGGCGGTGAGACAGAACTAAAAAATGTATGTGTGTGAGCTTACCAAAACATCTGCGCATAGTGGTACATGTATGTGTGAGGGGGTTGGATGTATGAAAGTAATTGCTGTAGTTTTATCGCTTTACTGCAACCCGCTAAAAACCGTGAAGATATAAAAGTTGTTCTATTGTTGCATATTCTCTGCATCCATTGTGCAAAATACAGGGCGAGTTTTGAGTGTGTTCTCGGTCGATAATTCCGTCATTAGCAAGTGAATATTTTCAAGTAGAACTTTCCTTTTTCACATCGGAATTGAAGACAGCGACAAATTTTATGTCCAAACATTATCTTAGCCATGACCTTTATTATTGCCTTCAAGGCCATTGCGTAGTCAAATCAAGACGTCGAAATCAATTTGCTCTAGCAAAAATGTTTGACAGACCCGTTGTAAGGTTTGTAGGGATCACCCAGAGGTGACCTTGACCATGAGCGTGATCTCGAAGGTCAAGTCAAAATTTTCAAAGGAAACTTCTCATTTTATACCGGAAATAGGAAAGTTCACGTTCAAATGTGACCTTGACGAATAACATCCAAGCTTGACACGACCTGAACAAGTGAAATCAAGCTTCTTCCATTTCCAGTAAAAAAATGTGAGGTTTCCTTTGGAAAGTTTGACTTTTGCATTTCATGGTCATGCTCAAGGTCACCTTTGGGTGTTCCCCACAAACCTCACAACTGTGGAGCTTTTTTGCTAGAGCAAATTGTTTTCCGTGTCTAGATTTGACTTTGAAATGGCCTTGAACGCAATGGCCAAGGCTACAGCGAAGGTGACTTGACCTCGAAGGTAGTGATTGATGCATTTCACCTACTTTGCCTTCAACATTGTATCTGATTGCTCAGATGGTGCCTTGCTTTTCATTACTTTGGGTCTATAGCTATTAACAATAAGTAGTGCAAATTGCTACGGATCGTTACCTCTAGGCCGACCCTGAGAAAATTTATCATCAATCTATCGATCTAGAATCTAGCCACATAAATCTAAGCGTCTGATTCATCACTCGAAAGATTTAAAATCGTGTTTATTAATGGTTTGTTCGTACAGCCTGTTTGCTGACAATCAGCAAACTGATAGTCGGCGACAAGTCGTGACCTAGTTTAGGCAGTTAGCTGTCACTGACTGTATTGATTGCATACATGAGAACGTTATGAGCTGGCTGAGAAAGGTAAGACCGATTACCGACAAGTAATCCGCTGTTCGTACAGAAACTTCTGACTGATGACTGTCAAATTAGTCAGTAGATAATTTGCCAGCAAATTGTCAGAGCTCGAAGTCAAGTACAATCAATATTCGAATGTAAAATCTTTCAGAAAGAGAAGTTGAGGTATGTTTATTTGCTGTAAACCAGAATGATCTAGAATTTTTGGCCCAACGGCCCGATTGTGCCCGAATTTTCCTCTAGAGATGAAAACATGGACACCTTCTAGAAAAAATAACAGCACCCAAAAATATCAAGTAGATTACTCAGTAATTCCCATTCAATTCTCATATAAAAAGTATAAACACAGATTCGAAGAAATGTGATTCCACACATCAATTGACAAGTTGAAGAAGTAAATACATGGTAAGAATTCTGAATAAACGTGTGCAGTGATTATGCATGAGAAATGTACAAAGTACTGTGAATGCCTTTTAATAAAACTCAGATACAATTGTTTTTGTTCCCTTGTCGCCGAGCCTCGAAGTGTATGCACAAACAGTATGTATATGTATATTCTAGCCCAAAGCTGATTAAAGAAAAACAAAATAACGAATTCTGGAGATTTTGTGATGCAGTTCCTTTTTCACGAGTGCCCACGGAGAGGGAGTGGCCGACTGTTTTTGCTGGGGTGAAAATAATATTTTCCCTATAGGGTATTTTAAATTCGACCCTCATCATTGGGATCTCGGAAACTTGACGGATACCGAGTCGCTTAAATAGGGGAAAAGTTGCGTATTGAAAGCAAAATGTAGCTTAGAAAGTTAAGAAATTAAACGTACTTTCGGAAAGAAACGTAAAAATCGAAATTTCCCAAAATGGTTTAATTTTCTCCTGACTTTATTTATGGTGGGATTTCAAAATAAATTGCACATCAACTCTGCTAAATTTTCTCCCCTATAAGACGGCATAATTAGAATTTCAATATGACGTTTCGTGTCTTGTCCTCCAGCATCAATTTTTTTTTTGTAGACACCATATTGGATTCCTGCACACATGAATAGCATTTTTATTCTGATTTCAAAAATGTATATGACATACATTGACATTGCAAAACCTTAGTTATTCCAGAAGTTCCTAGGTAGGCCTTGGAATTATCAGATTTCATTTGTTTGCATAGCAACAGAGTTTGGAAGACTGTGAAGACCTCTGCTTATTTATGGCTATTATTGTTATTACCATCAATAAAATTTTAATTTCATATTCAGGTTTCACCATATCTTTATACTTTCTTAAAATGTTCATCCAACAACAAATTTATGGTCAACTAACTAAGTACATCACTGAATTTAGGGCTGAAAAGTCCATTTGAATGTACAAAATTCCAATATAGTGTCCGTATGAAAAAAAAATGGATGATGTCGAAATTTTCAATTCGACTACGCTATTTTGTAGACGAGAATAAGTAACAATGAAGATATGTAATTTATTTTATAATCCCATGTCAAATAAAGTCAGGAAAAAATAGAGCGATTTTGGGATAAATTTGGTGAGTGAAACAAACATCTGATAATGTCAAGGCCTACCTGAGATTTTTTTTTAAATAACTAAGGTTTGGCAACGTGAATTTATTATACATTTTTTGAGTCAAAATTAAAAACTCTATTCATCTGTGTAAAAATGCAATATAGCAGCCTTAAGAAATAATAAAGTTGACGCTGAGGACAAGAGAAATTCTGATTATGCCTTCTTGTAGTCAGGAAAAAATCAAAACGATTTTGGGAAAATACAGTTTTCCCCTCAGTCTCCGGAAGTATGTACTTTGAATTTCGAAATTTTCTAAGTGTCATTTTGTTAAGTACCCCATTTAAGAGACTTCGTATCACTTACAGTTTCCAAGATCCCAATGATGAGTGCCAAATTAGAAACACCCTGTATATGCAGACTCTCACTAGAAGAAATAATTAAAAATTCTACAGGGATTTAATAACGTCTTTGAATAATAAAAGGTGTTATACACTAAAAAGCTAAAACAGCTGAACATAACTACAATTATCAAGATCTGCTTACATAGCAAAAAGTTTCACAGAGTTCCCAACATGGACAAAAAGCACTGAGACTACTACTATACACAGACGTAAGACTTAAATCGCGTAATTTCGTATTTTCCAACTGTAACAAAAATTTTCTACAAAAATCGTATTAATTATGGTTCTTGAATGTTATGTCCTCTATTGTTCGGATTTTTCATACTGTATTCATAATCTTCATTTTGCCATTACAGGGTCAATAAACAAAATATCGAGCACAAAGCAGTTTGGCGCTGGCTGATATTTAAAACGGAATTTCATTAAAATTTCTGCTGCCACTTGCTCACTCGAAAATGTTACAAAAACTTGTTTCTGTTGAATTGTGGCACTGTTTTCTCTACAAAATTTAGGTTTTTGGGTTTCATTCTCTCCTCAGTAGATCTTTAAAGTCAGTTTTTTTACACCGAAGCAGCCGCGCAGGCGAACGCTACATGCCAGGGCACCGCGGCTACTTTGAGGAGCTTAAAGAAACTTTGTTATTCCTATTTTTGAACCGCCTTAAGTTATTAGAACTGGAAAAAGCTCCTCATGTAGATTGTTACACGATCTCGACACCCTAGGGACAAAGGAGCGGACTTATCGGCCATTTATAGATGTACGAAGTTCGACACGGTTACGATGGGAGGCCGAAGTCAGGCAGGCACATCGCGCGGCGACACCATGGAAGAGATCTGAGGAGCAAAGACCGTTGGCGTAGCTAGATAGCCAACGGCCCGTCGATGTTCCCAGACCGTCCATTAGAGAAGAGTAATCGATCATTAAATGCCTCTTGCGAAGCAATTTTAGTTCTCAAGATAGTTTCGACACACTGATACCTGTCACTGGTTGACTGGTGTCCTCTGATCTGTCAGAAAGTTTTGTACGAACAGCGGATTAGTTGTCGGGAAACAGTCAGAAACTGTACGAACAGGTAACATGTCTCTGTTTCTGATTTTGACAGTTACCGGCTACTGTACGAACAAACGATAAAAGTGCAATCCTTATCGTATCTAGCAATCAAGCTAACAAAGAGCTAGATAGCTTATTTTTAATGTTGTGACTTTATACAATACAAACAGAAAATAAGCTGATGGCATGAAGCGAACATTCGTACGGACAAAACTAATCTGCCTATTAATTCTTGAATATATCAAATTTAAATGGCATACAAACTCAACATGTCAAATATAAGTGTGTGAAGAAGAAAATATCAGAAAATTTACGTGTAAGCATTTTTTCTTAAAGTAAAGTGTCATGCAGCATTCAAGTATATAGGTTCATTGGTTCCAAAACTATGGGTACAATACGGAAGAGAAAATCGGCTTTCTATATTTTATCAGACTACAATAACTCAAAAGATAATTACGGCGCATCAATTCAAGTACGGCTGATCGATTACGCATTTTTCGAACTCCTATTGGCTTATTAAGGCGTAGCTACCCTATCATCCAATAGTAACACGAAAATTTGCTGATCGATAGCCAGTGCTTACTTTGACGTTTGATAACCATTACCCGTTATTTACTATATTAAAATAAGAAATAGAAATATCAACTGTACCCTGGATTTTGAAGAACCTTACACGAATCTTGTGCTGATAATAATAAAGTAGGAGTACATGTACATGCAAATATATTTGAATAATACATACGTCGTTTTCTTAGTTTTCGTTTTTTGAAATAGGCATGCTAAAATGACACGTAAATGTTAGTTTTTAGAAGAGGGCGTTTACAATAATAGCAATTATACTTTAGAAAAGGGGATGATACATTCATAATCATCTCAGAATATACAACAAATATTTAGATCATTTTAATGGTTCTGCGTTGAAAGAGTTGACTGTTAAATATAAACATGTACCCTTTGCTATTCTATGAAGTTCAGACATCTAATAATGTTGAAGGTTCTTGATGAGAATAGCATCCTTCTGTAATATACTTACATTTTCCCAGATGAAGTTTGCTGTTTCGTCGATGTATGATCCAACTTCTCTCATTTCACCACTATACCTGCGTAACAAAAGAAGTCGTCAAAACTTATAAAATACTAATACAACAAAACATCATTCCAAGATGTCGCCAATGGCAATACATTTTCATCCGAGGCATGGATGAGCCATGCGGCTCGTCAGTTCTGCGACGTGACACACTGGTCCCAAATCAAAAAATCATTAACCTAGGAGGGCGCGCGAGAGATAGAGAGAGAATTCAAAACTAACATTATCATGTAAATGTAAAATGTATAATATTGGCAAATTCTGGAATTCCGTATATGAATGATGGCATGGTATTTTCAATAGAGGCTACATTGTTCTATTACATTCGTATATGGAACAACTAGAGTCGCCAATTTCATATATTTTCAGCCACATACTAATTTAGTTTTGAATTCTCTTGGTTGGTACTCGCCACCCTTAAGGCCTATTCATACTCAGCCGTGACGTGACAGTGCTGTGACCGGCACGTGATCCGCCCGGCGAAACTAATAACATTCTTTCTGGAACTTGGATGAACTGATTCACACTAGACCGGCACGTGGAAGTAGGTATCCGTGTTCTCAGTGCCCTCAATGAAGCCGTACCGTGATCATCGCATTGTTTTGGAACGATATTTTTCGATTTTCACGGCCGTGTTTTTATGTAATTTCATGAATATTTTGATATAATTGGTCAAAAACATGAATGACGAAAAACTAATTGAATTTGTACACGTACATCCCGTACTGTAGAACCAGTCAAATTCAAAATACAAGGACTTCCGTTGTCTTGTCGTTTCTTCTTTATCTTTCGTAGGTGATAGACGGTCTCTGACTGTCGAACGTGGAGGTACCACCCGGCGGATCTCGTAGGCGGGGCCAGAATGTGTGCATGTTGCATGCACACGTGTTCCCTCGCCAGAGACCGTGTGGCGTCCCCCTTTTCCCCCTATAGTACCGCGGTACCCCATGGGTGTTTAGGCCTTAGGCTTTCGCGGTAGTTAGAGTATAAAAAAAATCTAGAATTAATGCTATAATTACAAATTCATCTTCTGAAGACTTTGCCATCTCGACCTCACGTGAACACAATTGCACTGTCAGAGCACGGAGAAAAAGACTGACAGGTGTGAATTGAAAACACTGTGAGCTCACGTCAGCGAGAATTACGCTCTTCAGTTGGCTTCTATCTCTTTCTAACATATGTTGATATACAATTCTCGCGCTTCTCTCGCGTACAATTGAAGTCAAGCCGTCAGACAAATTTGGTTTTCTCTGTATATATTGTATGTATGCCGCATGCTCCTGTGAGCTTCTTAGTCTTAGTCTTAGTTTTAAGATTATTATTATTTGACATTTGTCCATTTAACCGTACCATATTAATGAAATATATTCCTAGGGATTGTAGAAAAGAATTATTTCATTTCATTTCCTATCCATAAATAAAAATCACTATAACCCATTTAATTCTCATTAAAAGATGCATGGGGATTTTACTATTATACAAGATAAGCAAACATTGTGTTGTAATCAGCATTGATTGATGAATGGATTCAAAGTTATTAGGCGTAAGATACTTTATTTATAAGTTATAGTGATGTAACGAATGTCATTTTTTTAACATTCGCGAATGCGAATGCAAATATCTGCTACCGACATTCGCGATTGCGAATGCGAATATTCAGTTTTTGTTCTGGCGCCAATTAATTGTCTATGGCAGTCTCGTTCGACCAAATGCGTTCCGTTTGTATTTGAAACTGAAGCCGAAGACACCCAAATGAATAAACGAGTTTAATCCGTTAAACTGTCACATAATGCTCAACAGAAAAACGCGTGGCAAATGACGTCGACCCTTTAACTTGATGGAAAGTGAACAAGGAAAGATACAGTATTCTGTTTCCTGTAGTTCGGCAGTATTTAGTGACACCACCAGTGTTCCGAGCGAGCGCAGACTCTGTTGAAAATTAATTATTAACTTAATTGTTATTTTTTTTGGAGATAAGTATTTTTGTGATAGTATAATTTTTTTTTTGTTTTGTTTGTTTAGACTATATTTATAGTTTATTGTATAAGAATATAGTTTTAGTTTGATTATGAATTATATTTTTTAGTTTTCTTCAAGATGATGATTATCTAAATCTAAAAAGTAAGTTAAAGACTGGTAAATGTTTCATAGAAGAATTGGTTTTTGTTTGTTTCAATTGCATTTAATTTTTGTGGTAAGTTCTAATGAGAATTCAATTTTTAAGTTTTATTAAAGTAAAATAAATAATCTAACTTAAGTGAAAACTGATAAAACTTTAATAGAAGAAATTGTTTTTGTTTGTTTACATTGCATTATATTTGTTTGTATTATAAGATCTATGAAAATTTAATTGTTAAGCTTCATTGTCCAAAGTAAAGTAAATGAATAAATAATACCAAATGATTAAGTGAAGACTTACGAGGTGAAGTTACTTTTTTTTGTATTAAAAATCATAAGAAACGAATGGATTTTGTTTTTATTAACCAACTATCATCTAATAATTGTATTTTTTTCTGATACTCATATTTGCAAAACATTCGCAGAAGTTTTGCGAATATGCAAAAATATGCGAATATCCGCGAATGCGAATATTTGTTACATCACTAATATGTAAATAAGTAGATGTTCACAGGAGCATACGGCGTATGTACAATATATGTCAAACACACACACACCTATATGAGGATATAGTTTTTTATATTCTTAACTCTATTTAACTGGATTATCAAACCTTTAGTGCCTTTAGTTTAGTTAGCGTTTTTTTTTGTTTTTTTTTTTTGTTGAAGCACCTGTATCTTTTAGGTCGCAGACTTTTGCAATAGGCGTCTATGAAGAAAATGTCAACAGTAATGCTCGCTACAATGTATCACAAGTCTCATTTCGGATACGTGATTAGTGCTCTGTTACCTGGTAAAAAATGTATTTTCTCCATAAAATAAATAAAAACAATATTGTTTTCTTTACAAAAAGCCATATTTCATAAAATTATGATACATAAAAGTTGTTTGTAATAGCTTAAGCTGCATGAAGTAAAACATCAGATTTATTTTTTGTCTTTTGACACTAAGTTAATGATTTTTACTTCCCACGCCTGCTGGCGAGGAAGTATTGTAATCACGAAAAGAGAGGATACGTTTTTTAGATGCTATATGACATCACATAAAAAACATGTCACTCATTTCCGTCGGTCTGTCTGTCCGCTAATCTTTGGACCGCCTATAACTTGGAAAGCACTGCCCTGGTTTGGATGAAATTTTAACACAAGAATGAAAAATCTTTGAAGTTTCTCAAAATCGGTCCAGTGGCGGTGGAGCTAGAGGTAAAACCAAGAAAAAATTAAAAATTGGTCTAACTTCGTTTTTTGACGTTTCGGAAGCTCCTGATCATTTTCAGATAAATTTTTGTAGGGGGAATGTATATGGGAATGTGCATTTTCTTGCCGGCGATATATTTATACGCTTCCAGTAATTTTACGCAGTATCAGTACATACATATTTCGCACATCAAAGATTTCTCGGCACATTCGCCTTTAGAAAACTATTTATAGACGACACGCGGTCGCTTGAGACGATGCGATGAACTGCAACTTTCATACGGTTGCGTGTGACAACATCGCCGGCAAAGCGCAGGGAAGTTACAGTATCCTGGTGTTTATGACGGGTTTGACTGTTGTGGTCAAGCACCGTTGCCAGATTGTCGATACTTAGGGAAGAAACTAGCATTAGCGTTATCAAATGAATCGGGTCTATAAAGTATGTTATAATTCTATGTGCTTGTTTGGCTGACTTGACCCATTTTTTTTTCTTATACGTGATGTCGCTAGCTCAAAGGGACTAACTTGGGCCTATCATATTCGTTCATGAACTGTTATATTAACTTTTAGATTGAATCTTAATCTCCTTCATCTGTAAAACGCATGACTAAACCCCATTCATAGTCCAAGTATGTTATAATTGTATATGTGCTTGTTTGGCAGACTTGACCCATTTTTTTTCTTATACGTGTTTATCGCTAGCTCAAAGGGACTAACTTGGGCCGAACATATTCCTTCATGAACTCTTATATTATTTTTTTGATTTAATCTTCATGTCCTTTACGCCCAGTCAAAACACAACATGCCCAAAACCTTTTCACAATTCATTATTCGCTGGAAGTACTTGAATCATCGTCCGAATGGTTATTACAGGTTCAATTTGAATATCGATCAGATTGTTCAGATCCCACATCTTTGTTTCGATTGTCTCTTGAATGTAACGGATGCAATATTTCCAATGGTTTGCCATCTCTCTGTTGACAGCTTCATAAAACAATTTTCCATGTCAAATAATTTGAATGTTCCATTGTTTGACGCCACATTGTTTTTTATATTTGCCCAAATCATTTCAATGGGATTTAATTCGCAGTGATAAGGGGGTAGCCTTAAAACAGTCTTATTTTAGTTTTTAGCCACTTCGTCAATAACATTAAGATTATATTTATATTTGTGCTGCCTGACTAGATGGATAAGTTCTGCTTTGACCATATTTTCATTGAAACTAATGTCTTTTGATAAGAGCCATTGTTAAATTCCTACCTTTCTTGTCGAGATTGTGGGAAGTTTTTCCAGTTTTCTAGTATGGTATGCAGCATTATCGAGTACAATGACGGCATTGTCGTCAAGCTTTGGGAGGGTTTCTTTAAACCATTGTTCAAATGAACTTTTTTTTACTCAAATGACCATAGGACAGTGGGCACAAAGCCGTCTTCACTGCCAATGTGACAGATAACAAATCGTTTTCCTTTTCCTGGAAATAATTATTTCATGGGCTCATAGATTCAGTCTACTTGACACCATTTTTACAACACAAATGACGAATTGGTTAGATACACGCACTTGACGGATTCTTTAGGACAGTGGTTAGTCCATCTAAGAAGGCTTGTCTTGCTGATTTAATTGTACAGTCAGCCCATACTTCAGGTTTTGTATGTCCTGCATTTATCCAGGTTTCATCCAAGTAATAAATCTTCCTGTCCTGGTCGCGGTATTTCGTTATTGATTTTAAATAATTTCTTCTCAATAAAATAATCTCTTGGCTGTCCATCAAAATACTATTTTTGTCCCGTTTTCTATACTCAAGATGAAGTTCTTTGAGTAAACTATAAAATGTGGTCCTTTTGAGAGGTAGATAAGTTTTCATTACTATTAACCTCCTGTAATACTTTTTTTATGGTGGAAAGTTCCTGCCTTTCAAAAAATTGATGGACTTTGCGTCGGATGGCATTCCGATCAAAGTTATCAAATGTATCCAACAGCTTCGTGTAATGCAGCCTCTTGTGCGGTGAAACAATTTTTTGGTTATTTATATTCTTTAACAATGTTGAAAATTGACTTAGTTCATAAGCCTGTTTTGTTCGCCACACGTCTTTCAATATCATGAATTTTCATTTCAGGATGCTCTAAAATTTCGCTCTTAAACAACTTATTTTGCTTGAATATTCAAATGTCCTTCTTGACACGTTTTCGGGGAGAAGACATCACTGAAGAGGAAACATGACTGAAGGAAGCATTTGGAAAAATATTGTTTCATCTGCTGTATCCGTAGACGACACGCTAAAGTATAAACACACGCTATGTATGCACCGAACATGAACAGCAACTGCTGGCGTCGGCGTGCGGATGATACCCCGTGTTCTATACTGTCGAATCGTGCTCTTGTTAATAGTTTTATGACCGAATGACCAATAGCTATTGCAACGCTTACGCGGCTGCCGCTTTGCCGCGCTGCATCTTTGTTGTGCCGAGGCGCAAATGAACTATGAATAGGGTATAAATTATCAGCCGCTTTTGAACTGCACTGTAAAACCATATTCTTTTAATGCATCAATAATAGACTGATTCCCATTTAGAGATTTTATCTCTATCAAAATTCCGCCTGCAAAGTCTATGCCTAAGTGTACTCCACGTAACACAACAATGATTGAAAAGATGATAAAAATGATGCTAATTAATGCAGTAAAATCCCTATATTTACTAAACTTGATATTGAGGTTATCTCAAATGAGTCTAAATGCCATGCTATTTACTTAAAATAATCACTTGTATTTTAGATACTTTTTAAAAAATTCACTAGTTTATTCTATCTCTGCGTTGCCTGAGAAGTGAGTCAAGCTAATTGATGCTATTTTTTATTTGGGACCAGTGTGCGTCAGTGCCATATTTGTTTGGCGGTAGCAACATTACTCTTGAGAGACGATCTGGCGAAGACAACATTTAATACAATCACACTCATGCTCGCTTTTGCTGATATAACCAGCTATTTATACACGTCCTTACAACATTTTCCCCATCACATCTTGTTTCAAAAGCAAACTACGTATATATAAGCGTGAGGACTACGCGAGTATCCTGCATGCCGCATATTGACTGGTATAGCGTTCACAAAGTAATGGTAGTGACGCAATGAACTCCTTAGATCACAATAGATCAGGACCGAAAAGTAAAGCGCGAGATCTGAATGTTATTTTTGACAATTGTAGGTCTTACTACCCCAAAATACCTTTGTTGACTACATTCCCCTCTATCTGTCAGAATATTCTCATCACTTACCTGACATACGACCATGTGCCCAATGTTATGAAAGCTACAGCCATTCCAAGGTTGCAGATGTTCGCCAAGGAATATATGCCTACCAATCCGAAAATCCCGGATGCTATATAAAATATAACAGCCACTGCAAAGAAAACTGCTGGTGTACGCGCCGATTTGAAAATGTTTTTGCTTTCATTGTGCGCCTTGAACTGAATAAAGGATTCCTCAATGTCCTGAAAACAAAAGTGCCAATTCAATAATAGGGAACGTGGATGAGTAATAGTTACTTTTGTGCAACTTTGCCTCTCAAGAAATACATTTGAACATTCATATGTTTTTCTAAAACAGCAGCAATTGACCATATTACAGCTCTAAAATTGATAAAAATCAATGCATACATTTGTAGTACGACTATTATAATAAATAACCAGGTAATGAAAAAATAGATTTTTATATCTATGTGAATCCTTAGATCATAAAAGAAGCAAGCCCAATGAAACAATACGAAGAAGAATTGTGTATACCATGTGCATCTATATATGGCAATTTCAGCAAAGTTTAAACAAGGCACTTGAAAGTGAGTTCAGCATCGAGCCAGTTTAATCAATTTTGCTTATTAAACACATTCCGTTACTGAAGTCTATTAGGGGTCTAACAGTGAACATTGTTTAATGTCCATTATGATCAACACATTGTACTCTGCTAGTGTTTAAGGAGCATTCACCTTTTCTAGCTGTTCTTTGTAGATTCTACTGAACTCCTCGCCTCCCATCTTTTTCTTACTGTCAAACTGGAATATCGCCTTATCCCTCACACGCCGATGTTCCACTTCCATCGTTTCGGTATTAAGGTAAGGTTTAGTACCTCCACATACCTCCTCCATCAGAGTAATATATGATTCTTTTGCATCAGCAACTGCTGCTAAGTTATTGGCCTCTGCTGTAGCCTAAAAATAAACATGGTAAAAACAATGTTCAAGAATAATATAGAGTATTTTTCATTCATTATTCAGTGATCAAAAAGGTCCTCCTCCACTCATTTTTTGAATGGGTCAAATTAGCAAGCTGAAATTTGGAGTGATGATAGTCTTCCTTGAATACTATCAATCAATCATACCTCTACTGTGATTTGAAATACATTACACTACAAATGGCGAAATTTAGCCTCAATGGCCACTCTATTATACAATACAATATTTTATTGGTGTTATTGTACATATAGTACTTAAACACGTCACAAAAACAAAATTTATAGAGATACTTAGATAATCGAATTCCAATAGAGTCGAATATATGTGAATATATATACAGGGTGATTCACAAGTCGTGACCAAAATTGAAACATCATACACCGGACCGCATTTTAAGGGGGTCTTCCATGTAACATTTTTTCTTCAAGGGCTTCATTAGAAATATACGTTGAAATTTAAAAATAAAAAAGAGAACAGTTTTTATTAATATCTTCAAACCGTCAACTTTAATGAACTGAAATTTGGTATGTGGATTTAAGTATTGTCCACATTCAAAAGTCTTTACTTAAAATTAACGTGCACCAGTGGCGGAGATACAGAGGATTAGTGGCATTATTTTTCCAAATAAAAATAGTAGGCCACAGTTTCTTTTTTTATTTATATTTTTATTTTTCCCCTGTATAAGAATTATGTAAACACCACAATTTGAATCTTTGTATAAAAAGATTCAGTAAAATAATAACAACAATTAAGAAATCAATTACAGTTACAGCACATAACATGCATAAAAAGCAATTTCAGCAAGGAAACTTCTTATTTTCTGTTTAATAAGGGTCTGATTTTTAGTGGTAACTTGTAGTATTTAGGTATTGTGATTTTTAAATATTTGATAATCTCACAAAAGGAATATTCAAGTTCACAGCGCTCTTTGTATCATAGAAAGTATGTGAATGTTCATCAGTGCATCACAAGAATAATATTCAAAGCAATGAAAGTATCTTGGTTCGTTGAATGTTGGTTCCTCAGTGTACTTCAGAGACAATGTCCTAATCTATACAACTGGCCCTATCTATCTTAATAAAATTTATATATTTTAGCATAAAAGTGGGAACATGTTTTTTAAATGGAATGGGTCATGTTGACATCTTTATTTTGACGTTGTTATGTATTTGTTATTAAGATATAGTCGGCAATAAAAGAAATTTGAATATCCCTTCATATTCAAGCTCCTTGTAACCCTGAACTATTAAATCCCTATATTTCTAAATGGCGTCAAAGTTAGTGGTTTTGTACATTAAATGGTTTATACACCAAAAAGCAATCATCAAAATGCTGCAATATCAGGATGTGTAATACACATTGCACTTAAAAAAGAATTGTCCAAATCAGTGTATGTTTTCCAACCAAATTTCCCATATTTTGATACAAATGCAAATAGACCCTTCCAAAGGAAAATTTTTTAAAATACATTTTGATGATTAGTTGTTGGTTATATGCGATTCACTGTACACAAGACATAATTCTGATAGTCCACCAGCCCACCATTTTGAAAGACAATAAATTAGAGAGTTTAAAGTACTGATAAGGAGTTCCAAAATGAGGTATTGCATATCTCCCTCCATTGGCGCCATCTTGAATTTTGCAACTCATACTTCTACAATAAAATATAGTGTTGCATCAATTTCATCCAGCCTAATTTCAGTTTGCTAACTTAGGAGAATTCAAGAAGAATAAAAGAAGACTGTATGCATTTGATTCAAGATATAAATGACAAATAGAAAGATTGTAGATTCATGTCATTAAAAATCGGAGGATCTTTGTAAAAATCTTTCCATAATCAGTACATTCAATACTTAGGAAATTTGGAATAAAACTCTTTTGTACTTAAAAATGTATACTTACTACAAGCATAGATTTGGGTTCTGGTAATTCATTTCCCTCATAAATTTTCATGTAGGAATTACAATATTGTACAAAATCTCTGACTTTAACTTTCTCTCCATTGATTTTCTTGAGTACTAAGTTTTCTGGAGCTAGCAACATTGGCACCAATATTTTCAGATTATCTTTGAATTCGGAATCGATTTCTGCAAAAAAAATGACAATATATAACAAAATATGTTTTTCGCAATACTATACAAAAAAAGACCTACCCCCTAATCGCCCATCAAAGGTGGGACTTGTAGCAACCTTTATTCCAGGATGAGGCATCAAAAAACAGGCTATCTCTGTGAAACAAGATCTGATGTGCTTCCTCAGAGACTGCAACTCTGAATGCTGATGTTCATTGATCTATAAAGTTCAATAAATGCAGTACAATGTGTGTAAAAATAAATATTCAAGAAAAAAATTCACCTAAACTGGGATTTTAATATACAAATACTACTAGTCCAGCAAGCCTTCATAGTATATTTACTGCTGAGATTTATATCTTCTCCTGTCTATATAATTTGTGCTTCATTAAATAAGAACTACCTTGTTTTTAATACAATCAATAAAGGTTCTGTTAATTTAAAAAAAAAATGTTTGAAGAGAACATTAAATTACATACCTCCAACCGTTTCTCAAGAATTTGCTGCCCACCAACTGCCCCATATGGTGCTTCATAGGGGAACCTCCAGTCTCTTACCAAAAACTGGAGCCTTTGGAAAGGGGTAGTACCAGAATCGGCAAGTGCTAGTCTACCATATTCTGTGAAAAGCTAAAGGGAGGTAAATGTTAGTATTGGTTGTTAATGACATTATAGTCTATTCATTTCAATTTGACATAGCCAAAGACAATTAGTTTTTGCTGAAAAAATCCAGTTGTAGTTTTTTAATGGTGTATATCTTATATGTATATCCTTTTGCTCATATCATCTGATACCATTATCATCTTAAAAAGATGACTGATATTTCCCCATTAGACAAAAGTCTATCTACATGATAATAAGGCAAATATTATTCTGATGTTCTGGAGATACTGCACTTGTCATCATTAAAACCAAATTGACAAAAAATAATAAAAATGCAGTATGAAAGAAATTAAACTAACTTGTAAGTGCTGTAAATCATCCTCTTGAATATTACTGGACAAGTTGTAAATTTGGACAGAACTCAACATTGTACTTAGTGCAAATATTGTCGCACACTCCTTTACTGTACTTTTGCTGTCCCATGTTCCTTGTGTATCCAGTAGTATTACAGCTACCTAAGAAACAAATTGTATTTGTTATCCATATAGAGTGACATAAATATTCCAACAATATAATTAATAACTTTTTATGTTACATCGTCAGCACTTAAACTTTTTGACCAAACAGGTACAAAAAAAAAAGAAAAGAAAAAGGATCCAACATAACTGTAAGATGTATTCTCAATTCACTTTATTCTCATAAAAAAATCATAAAAAGTAAAGCATAAGTAATTTTGTTTAATTCTTTTGATTAGTATTAGAAATGAGCAAGATCTCACTTTACTGACAATAGTATGGGTAACTATAGAAAATGTGGTAACACATTAACACAAAATTGTTTAATAAGTATCTATAGGGTCTAAGGACATGGTACAATTATTTAAGCAGTCTACTTATTCCACATGGTATTGTAACACATCTGCCAAAAGCTGTGAAAAAACTCTACATGCTGAGATCGAAATTAAACAACATTACTACAAAGCAATTGGAAATATATCATTATGCCAAAACAAACACAAAATCATATAATGAAATCAAATTTTCAATAAATATGTTAGCTAATTATTAAAAAAAAAAATGTGATACTGAAAAGCAAGGATTCTAAGAATTGCTATATTCTGACAGTGACATAATGCATTTGATCTTGAATGAACTAATTAATTTCTAATATTAGATTAAAAAATAAGGAACCAAATGCATTAGAATGTTTATTATAATAATTTATTTTAGCATTTTCAGGTATAAACAATAGATTTTTGTGTTTAGCCCCACTGTTGAGTGACATCACGTAACACAAAATTTATTATTAATTATCCAATTGTTAAAGGAATGACTAACCAATTTTTATTTATAAATAGCCACTAATTTACATTACACTTTCAATATATACTAATCATTTACCTTTTCTCCTGTGTTTAGCTCAGCAGTGAATACCTCTGACCACATTAAAATTCCAGTTGTATCTCTTTCAGAACCACCTTTCCATGAAAAGCCCTCCAATGGTGCTTCTTCTGCACCTATCCATTCTGAGGTGTTTTGTTTTAAGATATACTATAAATAGTTAAATGTGAAATATTACAGTTGTTACTTTTTTACATAAGTTAGAATGTAAAATTGCTATAGAGCTTGATTTTTTCAATTTAATTCAATATATCACAAAGTCATGGCAATAAATAGAAACCATACAAATAATAAATAACTGCTTTTATGGGAAATATTGGTCATAATGACATATATAGAAAACAGACTCCCACAAAAAGTAAAAATGATGTAGATAACAAAAATATATGGTACTTACTTTTGCATTCATATACCTAAGGAAAAAGTCTAGCAGAAAAGACTTCCCATGTCGAAATGCTCCAGCTACAGATACCACAACAACATACCTATCCTTCAACTCGTCTCTCAGTAACACCTTCTTTAATGCCTCTTCATCTAATTGAAATGAGTGATCCTGATTGGCGACAACAATTGGAACTGCATGGGGCTTTGTCATTGTGTCTTCATACTCAAATTCATCTAAAACAAGAGTTTTCCTGGGGTGACGTCAGAGCACTTTTTCAAAGGTGCTTGACAGCATTGAAAAGTATACTAGTTTAGCACCACCTGGTATTTGGTAATTGTCAGACATCGTGCTTTTAACTTCAACGTCATCCTGAGGTAGGTATTCAAAGAACAAAAGGTGAAATGCGTTACGTGAATATTTCAGTACAAAAAAAAACTATTGGCAATACCCACTCGTTAATTTACCTTCTGTGGAAGATTCTTTTTTAGCAACCTTTTTTCGCTGACGCACTTCAGACATTGTATTGCCTCGGTATTGTTCGCTGCGTATTTTTTTTAGCACAGAGCAATTTTATTATCAATTATCGCTTATCACAATCCAATTAATTTGGCTGGATCTACAAATGGCAATTTGACATACATAAGAAATGACAATTTGACTGACTGACAACATCACGACAACTCACCTTTCAATCTCATAGATTAAATAGACGGCAAATCACTGGCGAATTACTTGTATCGATTTATATTTTCTGTCACTGTCTTGCGCACTTGTTATGGCACAGTGAGGTGCCCAACAAAAACCAGCAGAATGAGAGTGCTTCACTGTTTATCTTGGGTCGTTTGCCTGTCATACAGTCCAGTTCCATGAATATACGAGGTGTGACTAAGAAAAACTGCAAATGAGCAGTATTTAATCAAAGCCCAGGAAAAGCAGATTAGATACACTTCAATATGAAAGTAATAAAGCACTAGTGATTTTTTAAGAAATTGTAATTAACATTTCCAAACAATAGTTTATATTTACATGTACAAAAATATGTTTTTATATAGTATATTGCACCATCTAAGAATCATCATCAAAAAATTTGCTGAGTTCATTCTGGTCCACATCTAATTGAATTTCTTCTAATAAAGCACTATTTGGAGTAGTTTGCCTGTGGTCTGGGATTGTACCTGATGTCTTGTAAAGCTCTAGATCAGTTTTAAAAGCATCCTGAAACACTTTCTGCCGTTCTTCCATTATAAGTTTCTTGCTGGCTTCATATTCAACTACTTTCTTCTTATAATTTTCTTCTAAGGCACTTTTTGTCATATCAAAGGTTTCTTTCTTTTTCTTTTCATATTGTTCTAAATGATAAGAATGCTGTTTCTTTAATTGCTCAAATTCAACTTCATCTATTATATTTTCAAGCTCTAATAATTTTAATTCTATGGTTTCTGCTGTGGAATATAGGGACTTCACATTTTGCACACAGTTAGATATTTTTGAAGGTAGCTTGTAATTAGAAAATATATGTGTTATAAGACCAATGTTCTTTTGGCTGGAATCAATCTTTTCAGCTAGGTTTTTAATTCCTTGAGCTATCACTTCTACACTTTTTGCATTTTTCTCATTCACTTGATGGATATCTTTCCACTGTTCTTGAAAGTGATGTAGGATTTCACCACCACTGTATACATTTACAGGATCCTTGTCATGGTTTTCTTCAGGTACTGAAAACAAGTTAACGTTGAACAATTTATCTTTTAAATTAGATAACATCGTTTGAGTTCGAAAAAATAGGTATAATTGCCATAAATTAAAAGGCTACATAACAAAAACAAGAGGGTTATTAACAAATACGATACGTCGAACACAAAATATACACACGTCAAACTATAAGTCAATGTCATTCGTATGATAACTGAGGTCACCATCGATGGATGAGAACAGAGATCCAGGAAGACTAGAGATACCTACGAGGTTAAACTTATGCAGTGTCGACGACGCAAGCGGAGTTATATCGTAAATACACTGCGCAGAGAATTAATTTTAGGTTCTGTGCATATAGCATCTCTCACGTATTAACACTGCGTCGAGGGATACTATCTGTCATGACTATAAACCATGAAGCAGATGCTCTACGCGCAGTAGATTCCCTTGACTACAGGATTGACTTCATGCGAATACCTCTATCCCTTAGACAATTTAACTAGTCTTCGGACAGAGAGCACTTATTTTTCGAATAGATTAGAAGCCAAGCATATGCCGAAAAACTAAATACCGCTGACGTCGTAATGTAAACGAGAGAGAACCATGCAACCCGAGTATATTGCAAGCTTCTGGCTCGAACACATTACGTCAGCTGAATTTGAATCTCACCGCCTATATGTTTACATTGCATTGTTACCCCCCAGTATTGCGTAGTTTTAATGCATACTTTTGACTCATTTGTCTACCAATGCGTACCCATGATACTATGACTGAGAAGATAAACCCACGCGCATGCGATCAGGTTATCTCTCTCGCACACGTGACGTCACTCGGAGACCCAAATCCCCTGGGAAGTTCAGTTTTATATGGCACTTTAGCTTGTTTAATGTTTATGCTTTGTTTAATTAGTTTGTGATCTGCTGGTGTGGCTAAAATTTTGTGAAAAACAGTTAATCTAACATTGAACTATGGTGTACTGTGCAGTGGTGGGTTGTAAAAACAACAACAAAAAGAAAAGCAGATACTTTTCAACCTGCAGTTTCTTCCGCTTTCCTAAACACAAACAAGTTCGCAAAGAATGGGTTCTGAAGTGTTATCAGCAACACACATTCAATACTGAAACTGCAAGAATTTGTTCGATCCATTTTGTGGAAAGCGATTATCGTCTAAAGGAGAAACTGTTGGGTTTACCTGAAAATAAATGGAAGTTGAAAAGCGATGCAATACCCTCTGTTCATTTGATCAAATCACCAAAGGCTGAGACTCCTCGCACTAGGAGAATAAGACAAAGGTTGAATAGGGAGCTTGTACAATCAATCGATCAACAACTAGAGGTAGAAATGGCAGAAGTACAAAGTGAAAGTGAGGGAGACAAAGAGAACATTCCTGAGAAAAATAGAACTGTATCCACTCAAACAAGGTAAAAAATGAATAAATTATATAATAAATAATATAATCATGAGAATATATATACAATCATCTAAATATCTATTTTATTTTAGTAAATGTGATGTTGATCAACACATCACAAGTCTTGAAGTTGAAATTGCAAAATTGAAGCAGTTACTTCAAAGAGAAATGGAAGAAAAGGAAAAAATTTCAAAAGTTTTCACTGAAGGGCAACTTCGTAAGCTGAAATCAACCAAGGAAATCCAGTGGAGTGTTGGAGATGTAGCTTCAGCTATTTCCTTATATGCAGGTGGTCCCAGGTCATACCGCTTACTCAGAAAAAGGGGTTATCCTCTTCCTGCAGTATCCACTTTGAGAAGATGGGCTAGTAAAATTAATATTGAACCAGGTATTTAGATAGATAGATAGGTATAGATTTGTATTGGTCATTTGTCTAGGTATACTTGAAAACATACTTTGTTAACAATTGTGCAACTATGATTGCTTCCATGAAGAGTAAAACCATCAGCGTTGCTTTTTACAAATTATAGATATTTGAATATGTAATTTGATGAAAACATTCTAGGATCTGCATCAGTGTGAGTGTTCTTCAGAGCTTTCTCATCCCATGTTTAATGTCATGTTTTAGTCATTCAGCATTGTTGATTGTTTATTAATTTTTATGATTAATATTATGCATGTAACTAAGATTGAATAACATATAACTACTTCAATTGTTTCAGGTATACTTAACACAGTACTGACACTGATAAAAGACACAGCTCTGCCAATGATGGAAAAAGCATGTGTCCTACTCTTTGATGAAATGAAAATTCAAAGCTGTTATGAATATGATAAGAAGAGTGACAGAACCTTAGGACCCAGTAAATATGTGCAAGTTGTCATGGCTCGTGGAATATGTGGAAGGTGGAAGCAGCCCATATTTTATGATTATGACAGGAAAATAACGAAGGATCTTTTGTTTAAAATCATTTCCAAATTAGAAAATCTGGGATACCCAGTTTATGCAATTAATTCCGATTTAGGAGGTAGTAACAGGGGACTATGGAAATCCTTGAATATAACAGAAGAAAGAACATGGTTCACAAATCCTGTAAGCCAAAAAAGAGTACATGTGTTTGCAGATGCACCACACATGATTAAACTATTGCGAAATCACTTTCTTGATGATGGTTTTATTATGAATGGAAAGATTATAACCTCTAAACCAATTGTAGATTTACTCCAAAATACACAAAATTTAGACTTAAATATTGCACATAAAATCAATACCGATTTCTTAACAGTTAAGGGTCCTCAACGACAAAAAGTTAAATTTGCAACCAAATTGTTTTCACACACAGTATCAAAAGCAATTTCAAGGCTGGGATCATTAGGTATTTTCAAAAGTGAAAACAATTGGGTTGAATGTTCAGAATTAATAAAGATCACCAATGACTGGTTTGACGTATTCAATTCGAGAATACCTCAGAGTGATTCAAGGGAACGTGTAAAGGCATATGGGTTGGCTTTAGATGAGCAAAATCAAATTTTAGAGTCAATGGAAAAAACAATGCAAAATCTGAGAAAAGTCGGCTCTAACACGTTGTTGCCGTTTCAACGAGGTATTATAATCAGCATACAGTCTTTGAAGCAGCTTTTTTATGACATGAAAGAGGATTTCGGTATAAAATATCTATTAACTTATAATTTGAATCAGGATCCCTTAGAAGGTTTTTTTCACAAATTAGAGCAATTGGAGGCTTATATGATCACCCCACTGCTCTGCAGTTCAAATATAGACTCCGCAATTACATCATGGGACGAAATGACGACATTATTTCCAAATCAGCAAATATTGCTACCATACGGGACGTGCCAAATATTGCAATCGCTAGTGTAAGTAGTATTTCGGACCTTAATGTGTATGAGAATGATGTCGATGACTTTGAAATTGTTACTGGACAAATGTTTGAAGTTTTAAATGTACCAAATTGTGATGAACCTGTACAAAAAGATTCCGATCCAGAGGATACAATCATTGACCATCTCCAAGAATTAGAATGGGATGGCTTAGAAAATTTGGCTGGTTATATAGCATATAGGTTAAGGAAAAAAGAAAATTTAGGTGTTATTCCAGATGACAGTGAATCATCATTTTCATGGGTTAACCACCTCTCTGAGGGTGGTTTATTCAAACCAAATGCCGATTTTATGGTCAAATGTAATGAACTTGACCATATTTTCGGCACTTTTAATGGGGAAACATTGAAATTAACCAAAAATGATCTGAAATCTTTGATGGATTTAGCTGCATCAGTTAGCTTGAGTGCAGATGCCAAGCATCTTTTTTTTCGTTGCAAGATGTATTTTAAAATTAGGAGTTTGAACAGGCACATAAAAGAAAAATCCCAGGTTGCAAAAAGGAAAAAGTTGAAAATTGTGCAATGAATTATATACTAAGTGATATACATATAAATCCGAACACCCAGTTTAAATGGTTTTATTTTAATAAAAGTTGGTGAATGTATTTATCTTACTGTAAATAACAAGTGAAAAAATGTTCAGCCTTATCAGTTGGACATTCCGGTTTTTATACTGCTTTTTTTTAATTCACTAACGATCTAAAAATGAATATTCAGCCTTCATTTACCCTATCTTGACACCCTGTCAGATCCAACTATCCAACAAGATAATGCCCGACCACATGTTGCAAGAGTCACAATAGACTTCTTTCAACATAATGATGTCACATTGTTACCCTGGCCACCAAGATCTCCCGACTTATCCCCAATTGAGCACGTGTGGGATGTGATGGGTAGGCGATTGCTCAATTTGCAACGTCCTCCTCAGACTCTAGAAGCACTTCGAGAGGAGTTGGTGGTTGCCTGGAATGAGATACCACAGGAGGACATTGACCACCTGATCAGAAGCATGCCTAGGCGCGTTGGAGAATGCGTAGCACATCAGGGTGCATCCTCACATTATTAAAGGTCAAAGGTCAAAGGGCTTTAAAGCAGTGCAATCATTTTGAATTTTTTATCATTTACTTATTATGCTTCATTAAATACTTATACAAAATTTTATTAAAATAAAACCATTTAAACTGGGTGTTCGTCACTTAGTATATAAAATTTGAGGCGCCTAAAGGGACAAATCTGGGATTTTTTTTGCCAATGTGCTCGAAATGGACTTTTTTGTGTTTTCTATTGATGAATCTTTTGTATCTTTACTGATGACTATTGTAAAATGAATTAAATAAAACTGTTTACCAATAAATAAGATTTTAGGGAAAAATCTGAGATATTCTTTTTTGCCAATATGGTCCAAATGTGAGATTCTTTTGTGTTTTCTATTAATAAGACTTGTGTATTTATACCGATGAATATTGTAAAATAAATTAAATAAAACTGTTTACCAATGAATGAGGTTTTTATTGTCACCTATCTATAAAAATATTGAAAAACTATGTAAGTAGACTACCTATTTATACATAACACTATAAAGACATGAGATGCGACATATTCGTCATCTATTTTTTTCTGCTGAAAAAATGCACAAATGAATTATTATTTATTTCTATAAATAAAGTGAGCCCCTTTATTTAGAGTTACAACAAATTTTAGTTATTAAACGGCTGGTGGCATGTTACTGTTCATTTTTAAAACCCATAACTTATCTATAATGATATATTCCAACGCGCGACCCGCCCGATCTCTACTTGCGGCCCAACTGACAAACTCCATTAAATTCTATTGACAAGTACATCAAAACATAAATAATAAAATCTATGCATACTATGCAATACTAAAACAATCATGTGACATTAAAACACTACAAAATATAAATCAAACATCCCAAATATTGAAATCACAACGTCTAAATCTACATCTAAATCGTATCTGAATACACTGTATTTCGTACTGCGGGCCAAACATAGGTCTCCGCGTGACGTCATGCGCAAAGGCGTACGAAATTCGACCGCGAAGTA